GTAGTAGTAGTGGTCGTAGAATTTGTATTATTATTATTAGTAGTAGTAGTAGTAGTAGCAGTAGTAGTAGTAGTAGTAGTAGTAGAAGTATTTCTATTATTTTTGTTAGTTGTAGTAGTAATGGTTGTAGAATTTGTATTATTATTATTATTAGTAGTAGTAGTAGTTGTTGTATTATTATTAGTAGTAGTAGTAGTAGTGGGTTTTGTTGTTGTTGTTTTGTTGTTGTTGTATTATTAATAGTAATAGTAGTAGTGGTTGTTGTTGTTGTTGTCTTTTATTGTTGTATTATTATTAGTAGTAGTAGTAGTGGTAGTAACCAGTAATGGAATGACTTTGGAACATTGTCCAACTGTCTCAGGAACAGTAACTAAGTTAGGCTCAACTGGAGCTGAGCCGACAGATCTGATAAGCATTCAGGAGCATTCAGCACCATGGACAGCTCACCCACCCACCCACCCACCCATCTCTCTCTCTCTCTCTCTCTCTCTCTCTCTCTCTCTCTCTCTCTCTCTCTCTCTCTCTCTCTCTCTCTCTCTCTCTCTCTCTCTCTCTCTCTCTCTCTCTCTCTCTCTCTGCCTCTCTCTCTGCCTCTCTCTGCCCCTCTCTCTCTCTCTCTGCCTCTCTCTCTCTCTCTGCCTCTCTCTGCCTCTCTCTCTCTCTCTGCCTCTGCCTCCTGGCTGCGTTCACACACATGACACACACACACACACCCTACTAACTGTCCGGTATGCCTGAGTTAACCGTGACTTTACCCTGTGGATCACCTTGGTCAGTGATGCCTGATACTTCTGTTCTCTTCTGTCTTTCTCTGTTCTCTACCATCAAGCGCTGTTGTTCGCTCCGTCCTTCACACCGACTCAAATGTCTAGAAAATCTTTTTATTGACTGACCTTCTCACAGAGGAGAAGCAGGAATACTGTCTCTCAGTCATTCTGTGTTGTTCTGAGCTGGTCTACCCCGTCACACTGAGTGAAAAATAGAGTTTTTAAAATGCTGCTGTAACTCTTTCAGGCCTGTAAACCCTTCTTGGCTCGTGATTACTGAGAGATTGTGGAAAACATTTAGCTTTTGTTGGCTTCCATGCTGTCACAGTTCCAGTGGCGTTTCAGAGGGATGAATCTTTTCACAGTGTCGTTGGAGTCAGGCCAGGATGGGACTGGGAAGGCTGGTGCATAATTCCAGCAGTCATCCCCATATTTTGATTCTTTTATTTGCATATGTGTGTTGCTTCTCGAAGGGGGAGATGGTGGCAGCACTTAAATGACAAAACAAAAAATAAAAAAAACAACACTGGTTGTGTTGTTTAACGCCTTGGAGGGTTGTTCAACCAAACTAAGGCGCTGTACAAATACAGGCCATTTACCATATCAATATTACTGACAATGTTTATAAAATTCATTAAAAATAAGTTATTTTCAAATAAATTTCCAAAATATTCTTGGTTCATTATGGGGTCATGAGCAATTAGTTTTTGTCATTTTATTGTTTCTAAATTAAATATCTTTTAATTAAGAAAATAAGTTCAGATTCATAAATAAACTGACCGAAACAAAAACTTTATTATAAAATCCATATTTGATCTAAAGATTATCAAAAATAATCTATACATCAACAGTATATTATGACTAACATAATTACTTGATAAAGTCCCTATATTTAATATATTTCAACAAAAACTGAGTTTCATTTCATGACTTACTGATCAAAAGATTTTTTTAAAAATCCTGAAAAATCCATAAATAATTATTTTTAGGATTTTTTTCTAATTTGAACTTTTAAACGATCGTAAACCACGCCCACTTTGATCGATCATTACCATATTGATATTGTAGTCCTAAGACTCTATAATGATGACAACCACTGAGTTTCACGCAGATCCAATTAGCCAGTTCAGCAGTATAAATTCTTCCTATTTATAGCGCCCCCTATTGTTGAATCAAGTTAAAAATCAACATTTACACTTCAATTGACCTTAGGTACGGTTGTTATGAACAGCTTTAAAAAATGTCAAAATCTTTTAAAGTTATACTAAAAAAACATTTTCATTCCAAAAAAATTTATTTAAAAAGTCATATTTCCAAAAACAAATCAAATATCAAAAATCCGTCCACATCGTTTGATCAGCCGCTCTTCCCCTCTTGTCAGGCAAAGTTTTTACTTGATTGTGTTTGACAGCCGGGAGGAGTTAACAAAAGTACATTTGACTTATTTTGCAAATTTCTACAAATTTGCATAAGTTAAAAAAAATTTTTTGAAATACGCATCTAAATTTGACTGTTCCATCTTTTAGTTCTTTTTAAAACACAGAAAGGTTTTATTTACCTGCAATGTTTCGAAACGTTTCAGGCAAATTCCCACGCACCCTCCAGGATCCCCCTAAGGGTATAGAGCTGGTCCAGTGTTCAACGGCCTGGACGAAAACCACATTGCTCCTCCTGAATCTGAGGTTCAACAATCCGATGGACCCTCCTCTCCAGAACCCCGGAATAGACCTTACCAGGAAGGCTCAGGAGTGTGGTCCCCCTGTAGTTTGAACACACCCTGTGGTCCCCCTTTTTAAATAAGGGGACCACCACCCCGGTCTGCCAGTCCAGTGGGACTGCCCCTGAATAATAATAATAAATAATGAAAAATCCGTACAAAAACAATAGGGTTCCAGTGCCCGTTGGGCTTGGAACCCTAATAAAGTAGAGAAAAAGTGCTGTTAAAGATTTTTCTCCTCCATCAGATAGATTTGTGTTTGTTGTGCTATAAACAGGAGAAATGTGTGGAATGCCTTTGGAAAGGTCATCCCAAGATGGATGGGAAAGCAAAGGGAGGCGGTGTAACCTTTACCTGCAGTACAAAGTGAACCCACTTAAGTGAAAGCCGCAGCGTTTACCTACAAGCTTCTGATTTCTAGAGGTCCCGACATATTGGAGATTGATTCATGACGAATGTTCTTTCGGTGACGCGACCGCAGAAAACCCGTTTTACAGGTTGCTGATGTCTGAGCTTCAGGTTGGAGATGAACGGTGCACCACACGTGTGCCGCCGGCCCTCGGTCACATAAATCTCTTTGTCCTGTGACCCTGTGGTACAAAACAACATGATAAAAGCTAGAAAAACTCTAGAAAACACAATAAAAGTCAACAACAAACCCAATCTGAAGATTTTTGGAGTTTTTCTTTATTGTTTATTAGCTTTCTGTTCCTTTGCAAATATTTAGTTGAATTTTGTATTTTCCATAAATATTTTTGTTTCTTTTTAATGTAGCTGTGTTTCATTTCTCTTATGTTTTCTATTCTTTTGTCAGTTTTCTAAAAAAGAAAAACATTTTCACTCAACCTTAGAATCTGTTTTTATGGCTGTTTTATTCATTTTTTCAATAAGCTGCTCAAAAACCTGAAACCCAGGGCAGCACATGCCACCCTTGGAATCTGATTGGCCACCCCAGGTGCCACCACTCTAATTAACCTTTAAATAGGCTTTTCATTGTCCACAAAAGGCTTGGGGGTAAAACAAAAAAAAAGTATAACCATTGGTGCCACCCCTGCACAAAGTTGTGCCTCACCTGGGCCACCCCATTTGAAAAGATCTGGACACGCCACTGCTGAAACCTGCTATATTTATAGCAGTAAGTGGTTTAGAGCAGCAGCACGTTTCTAACCCCGGCTTTCCACGGGAGCCATCAGCAGCACGTTCCTGCAGCAGCACGTCATAGCTGCTGATAGGAACCGCTGTGGTCAACAGAACCTTTTCCACCGGAGCCGTCAGCAGCGCGAGTCGGCCGCGTCTCAGGAGCAGCATGTTGCGGCCCTTACGCGCCGGTTCTATTTTCTACGTGCGACGCCTCTGAAACGGGTCAAGTTCGACATTTTTGGGGAAGGAAAGACAGGAAATCGGACGCGGAAATGGAGAGAAGCTCCCGAGATTTTCAGAATAAAGAACGTACTGCCTTCTGGTTGCTTTACTTTTAAAAAACAGTTACTAAATATGCGGCCCCGTGAGAAGTTATCACCTAGCTAGCGGTCTCCTTTGTTTTTCAGGTCCGTATTGGCGATTATAAAACGGACAGAACATAAAACACAAACCACGTTGTAGTTTTCTCCTGCTTGTTGTTGTGTTTACTGACGAAGGCACTCGTGTGACTTTGTGCTCTGTCGGTGACAGCTGCTCCCCTGCTGCTTCGCGTCTCGTGGGAAGGGCCAAGCAGCAGCTTACGCGAGCAAGACGTGCTGCTGACGGCTCTGGTGGAAACCCGGGGTAACTCTGCATGACTCGGTGTTTCTTTAGGCTACGTGGTGACCACTCACGTTTCTATCAAAAACACCTGAAAATGAAACCATAATAGCTCATCTGGTCATTTTAATGTTAAAAGCATAAAAGTCGGATGCAGTGAAAGAAATTATTAAATGCATGATGCAAACATGTGAAAAAATATATTAACAATATTGTTGATACAAGAGTTCCAAAATAGTTTTATTCAAAATAATTTTGTCTCTAAATGCTCTAAAACGTTTAACAGCCAAAGACATTTGTTTGAAAACTGGCTAAATTAAAATATTTAACATTTTTTGATGCTAGTGGACACAGCTTAAATTAACATGTCCACTTGGTCACATTATTTTCAGTCTTTTTGTCCACGTCTGCATATAAGCATTAGTCTTTAGCTGGACGTTTCAATATGAAAACACCGCTGTGGAGTTGAACAAAGATAAATAAAGTTTCTTGAGCTTTTATCAGAATACAATTTTTGATCTGGAGGATGTTGAAGCCTCACGGTGGCTTTTAGTGTTAGGATTTTAAATTAACCTGAATTTATGTCGTTAGTAAAACACAAGAAGTCATTAATCAGCTCTAGGATTAAATTATCTTTGTCTGCGTCATATTTTCCTAGGTCCTCTAGAGACCATCCACATTATTATTATCATCTTTCTTTTGTTTTCTGTGTGATTCTGTTGTTTTCATCCATCATTTTCTTTTAGCCTAAGCATGTTTTGTTCTCAACATTACAGGTCACCATTCACCCTGGAAGACAACGAAGCAGGTAACATAAATCATCCATAAAATAACTGGATTATCTGATTTATAGTTGTCACCCTGTCCTTTGGCTGCTGTCTAGTCTTTGTCTGACTCACCTTTCCGTGCTCAAACCTTCTTTATTGTTTCAAAGGAGTTTTATTGATAAATAATAAATAAATACAAATAAAAAGCTTTCTTTGCTTTGCCAGAATATTATTCTTCATCTTGTCCAGCAATTTCCTCTCAGTATTCTCTGAAAAAAACTCCATCCTCCAAATGCTCTCCTGAATCCAACACACACTGTGAAAGAGAGAGAGAGAGAGAGAGAGAGAGAGAGAGAGAGAGAGAGAGAGAGAGAGAGAGAGAGAGAGAGAGAGAGAGAGAGAGAGAGAGAGAGAGAGAGAGAGAGAGAGAGAGAGAGAGAGAGAGAGAGAGAGAGAGAGAGAGAGAGAGAGAGAGAGAGAGAGAGAGAATCAAGCCAGCGCCATCCTCACCAGTCCCTCAGCCTAGATCCCAGTTCATCCCAGTATCCAAACAAGAAAACATGAGACGAGAGCTAAAACAAACTATCTCCAACATCTCTATGTAGCACACAGCTTTTTATCTCTTCAACTTTTTAATTCATCAGATGCTCACACACACACACACACACACACACACACACACCAGAGTTCAGTGAGTTCAGGTGTCATTTATTACAGGAAGCCTTCCAGCTCAGAAGTATGGAGCCATTCAACCAACAATGTGAGAGAAAGCTGACTGTCACGTGATCTCAGACTCAGCCTGAAGCTTCTTACAGCCACAACATCTAAAGTTATTGTAGAGAAGACTCGCCACCCATCAACCTTGTGTCTGTAACTCTTCTGCACCTGTCCTCGGGTACTCTAGGAGCTCTGTGGCACCTCAACATGCATTATGTCCAACTTCAGTCTCACTTTGATGACGGCAATGTCTCCTAGCCTTTAGCTTTGGGACAGCAGTAGCTAGAGCGGGTTGTCCAGTCATCGGAAGGTTGCAAGTTCAATCCCAGCTCCCCCCAGAGAATGCTGCTGTTGTGCCCTTGGGTCAGACACTTAACCTGCCTTGCCTGCTGGTGGTGGTCGGAGGGACCGGTGGTGCCAGTGTTCAGCAAGCCTCGCCTCTGTCAGTGCGCCCCAGGGCAGCTGTGGCTACATCGTAGCTCATCACCACTAGTGTGTGAATGACTGTGATGTGAAGCGCCTTGGGGGGTTGTAGAACCCTAAGAAGGCGCTAAACAAATACATGTAAGTTCATGTTTTTACTGTTGTGGGGTTTTAAATGCTAAAAGGAAGGTAACAACATTTTTAAGTAGCAGCTGCTCAGCGCTGCATAAATAGTGTTTTATTGATTTTAACACCATCTCCAAAAGCACCGCTAACATCCTGACCAATGGATCCTCTGCTCAGCTGTCATTTAACCATGAAGCATCTGAGTCTTTATGTTTTTAATCTCAGAACATCCTGGACCAGACCCAGGCCCAGTTTTCTCTGTGAAGTTTTCAGTCAAACTCACCGTCTCAGTTTCAGAGAGCTTGTCGCTCCCACCGAGCCGCTCTCTGTCACTTTCTGACATGTCAGAATGCATCGCCTCCACTTTGTGTTCGGTGCCGTGGCGTGACTCATGCGGCCGAGCTTATTGAGCTCTAAAACGCTGACTGACTGGTGTCAAAACTGCCGCCGCAAACACTTCATCACATTAGAAATATGTATTTAAATGGTTCAAAGTAACATACTGACTGGTTATTTTAGTGTGGTTTTTATTTTTTATTGTAAGGTTTCTGCAGAATCTGACATTTCAAAATAAAAGCATCTTAGTAATATGTAATAAATTTAAATTTTGTTTTTATCCACACAAACTAAGTGTGCAGGACTAATTTCATTTCACGCTGAAAGGAGACTGCCCCTCCTTGACACACACACAAAGTTTCAGTCTAATGTTGGATTTCAAAATAAAAGTCTCCAAGAGTCTAAAATAGACACACACACACAAAAATGAAAATTATAACAAACTTGTTTATTTTATTTTAAAAATCTTAAATTGTAAAAGACAAATTCTGAATCTGAGTAGAAATTTTATTCAAGTTTCAGCAAAATGTGAAGAATTTCATCATTTTTCATATGTTCAATTTTGACTATATAAAACCTGTATGTATCTCCTATAAAATCTAATTTCTTACTTGCAATAAACCAGTCAGAGTATGGGTGATGCATTTCAAAACAAAAGCTCCTCAAGTCATTTGTAGACTAATTTTATCTAAATTTATTCAAATTAAATCTTGAGCTGCAGCAGGCTAACTTCAGTATGTTTACATAATGAAGGTGGTTCCAAACACACCCACATCACCCCACTTCTCCTCCAGCTTCACTGGCTGCCAGTCAACTTCAGGGTTCATTTCAAGATCCTGGTTCTGGTCTATAGGGCCTTACATGGACAAGCACCATCTTACATTGGTGATCTTCTTAGTCCCTACACCCCCAGCAGGTCTCTGAGGTCCAGTGATCAAAGCCTACTGGTTGTGCAGCACCAGGCTAAAGACCAAAGGTGACAGATCATTTGCTGCTGTATCCCCCAGACTCTGGAACTCTCTCCCCCTGAGCCTGAGATCAGTGGACTCAGGGGTCTCCTTTAAAAAGCAGCTGAAGACTCAGTTGTTCAAGCTGGCTTTTGTATGACCTTCTTCACCACTCTCTCTTTATTCTGCTCTCCCCACCTATTCCACCTTCCTCAGGATCCACTGATTTCCCTCTTTCCTGTTCACTCTCTCTTAACTTTTTTTTATAACAATCGCCTATTTTTGCTCATTTTAAATATATATTTTTAAAACATTTTCTAAATGCTTTTTTATATTTTTACATTTTTGTTTTTGTGAAGCGCCTCATGATCTTTATCTTCTATCTTTCCATCTATAGAAATGATACTTTCTTCTTCTACATGCATTTCTCAAAGTTGGATCTGGTTTATATTTCTGAGATTTTTTGAGGTTTTATTGTCGAATAAAAATCGAAACAAACAAAACAATGCACCAACAGTTATTTGAGTTAGAGACGCTCAAACGTTCCATCAAATCAAAACATCAGAATAACATCTCAGCTTCTAATTTCTTTAAAAAGGGCAAGTCACCCCCTACCAGAGTCTTACTCAACTCCCACTTCCTGTTTGAATAATGCAACAAATACTGTTGCCTGGCAGACCGAGAGGGCGGAGCCTAGGGATGGGTACCTTTGACATTTGAATCAATTCAGTACTAATTCCCGGTACCTAGGAATCGATACCGGTACTTAACGGTACCACTTTTAGATTTTTTGAGTGTTTTAATATTTTAATTCTCTTTTATAATTAAATATATATTTTTCTCAATATATAACCATATTTGATAAATATCACGATAAATAACATACAACTGTTTGTATTTTAACATCGTCCTTGTAGTTTTATAAGTTGATAATTAAACTGAAGCAAACATCTTTACTGTGAACTAAATTTACTGTGTATCTTCATTCCTTTTGCCGTCCTTTTTCATTTGATTTTTCCTACTGGGAAGTTAGAATTTCCGAGGAGAAAGCGAACGCACCATTAGCTGATAACAACGGTGGCAATGGAAGCTAATTTATCAAGCTAACGTTATCTTAAACAGTTTATTTAGCTGCTGGAGCAGATTAAAACGATGATGCCTCACACTTAGATCGTTGTCGCTGGTTTCATCTTCACCCAATCACCCGTCGTATTTAGTAAAGTGAAGCCAAACTTTAGAGCACGTTCATGTTCTTCTAGTCGGAAATTTGGAGTTCCGAGGAGAAAGCGAACGCACCAGTAGCGGAACGGAAGCTAACATATCAAGCTAACGTTATCTTAAACATTTTATTTACCTACCGGAGCAGATTAAGATGAGGTCTCACTTAGATCGTTGTCGCTGGTTTCATCATCACCCAGTTACCCATCACATTTAGTGAAGTGGACCCAAGCTTTAGCGTGCGTTCTTTCTACCATGCTGCTCTGTTTACAACTGGCTCGCAGCGAGCGACGACGTAACGCTCTTGCGCATGCGCAGCTGTCTAGGCAAGTTCTCGTTACGAAGGACGGGTACCGAAACGAGGCACCGTTACAAATGACGTGAATCGGTGCTCAGTCGGTACTATGGAATTCGGTCAGTACCTTAAAAAGTACCGAATTCGGTACCCAACGCTAGTGGAGCCACTAACAAATACATTAACACAAGTGCCCACAACAACATATTGACATCGTAATTTCACCAGCTGACTTCATAGAGTACCTCTTAGCCAATAGCAATGCCAGGTTTAAATTCAAATACAGTGTAGAGTTTTTACCTGACAACAGCACAACACTGACAGTTTTTGGTAGAATATTTAAATTTTAACTAAGATGAACTAAAGTGCCAATTTATTGACTGCATGTGTCTACAGCAACAATTAGACACTCATTTATATAGTTTATTAGCAAAAAAGTTGATTTGGGGGTGACTTGCTCTTTAACTTTTCTTTTGAACCAAAACTCCTCTTAAACTTTTCCTTCATCCGGTCATTCAGGGAGCAGAATCAGACCTGTCGAGTTCTGGATGTCTTCACCCTGATCTAATTCACGTTAAAATGAGCCGCAGATTTAGACATGACTGATCTTGAATGTTTCTGGGCTCGTCTAGTTTTAGGCTTAACTGACTCAAAGTTACCTTGTAAACTTTAGTCTGATTTATTTCATTAAATGGAATAGTTAAATATTTCTTCTGACCAAGATTACCAACAAAATCAACCAAATTCTGGAAAATGGATGTCTTTATTTTTTTTCACTCAATATTTTAGAGATAATAAAATTAACCAAACTTCTATTGAATTTGAAAGATCTGAGTTTCACAAAAACGTGTTCCCACATTTTCCAGAAGCATAATCCTTCGTCCCTTCCCACCAGTTAGGCAAAACATTAAAACCACCTGCTGAACATACTGTAGGCCTCCCTGATCAGAGGGCACTGGCAGTAGCTGCTAAAGGTTTTCTGCAGGATCTGGATTGTTTTTATTTGAATTAACGAGTTTGCAAACCACCTGGAAACAGTTTTTATCATGTTGTATGTGTTATTCTGTGTAATAACTTGACTATAAAGCTGTTAAATGGATCTTCAGCTTGTGGTGACACACATTTGTTGCCTTTTAGACAAATCCAAATGATAAATGTGATGCTTCTATGCATCACGTGTGTCCTAAACCTTTGATGGTTCTGGTGTTTTTAAGTCTCTGGGGGCTAGTGAGCAGCCAGATCTCTCTGTAATTCATGTTTTAGTGCCTTTTTTTTTGGAAGCGGAGCTAAAAATCGAGCATCAACTGTGTGGAAACGCGGAAAGAGAAGTACTGACCCCTCATGCCGCTGTGCTTTACAGGTTTTGGAGCAGTGGGAGTCCCAGCTGGACCGGAGCGGCCCTGCTCAGACCAGCATGTCCGCTCCCGCTCTCCCCCACCTCGCCCCCTTCCCACCACACCATCTTCTCAGGGCCTCAGTGCCAGACTCCGAGGCCTTGGCTAACCCAGCCCCATATGACCTTTTTGAGAAGTCCATGGCTCTCTATGAGAGTAGGCGTAAGTACCAGAGCTGCTGTGCAGGTGAAGATTCACACCAGCCCACGAGGAGAAGACGATCTGTGCTTGTGTTTACAAGACTCCTCGGGTCTTTCTGTCACAGGAAAACGCACAAAAAGATAACCTCAAATCACCTGACATCTTTTCTACCAACTCAAAAACGTCTTTACATCCAGATGCCGTCTCCTTACAGAACCTGAAGCGTGTCCACGAGTAAACATTCCATTCACTTACTGATGTTTTACTGTCCAGACATATAAAAGTGTAATATTCCCATTTTATGCTATAAAAATACAGAAAAATCTTCTTTTTTATGTTATCAGCAGAAAATGTCAAAAATGAATCATTAGGTCAGTTTAAAGCTTAAGAAATAAATAATACAGCATTTTAAATATTAAATTTAAAAATACAGAAAGACTGGAAACAGATACATCAACCTGTTGAAGTTTCAGAAGCAGCTGATTAGGATCTCTCTATTCTGGGAATTTTCAGACTTCCTCCGATCAGGTAGCAGGAAAAACCTAGTGGTGTTTGCATCCTCGTGCAGGAAATTTGAGGGCTGCAGGGGTGTTGGCAAGGTGTGAACTTCAGTGTTAAAGCTTGGAAATTGGACGTGCAACAATCCTGCAGTCGTCTTGCTTCTCTTGTTTTTTCTTAACCAGCATGAACGATTTATTCATTGAAATGGTTGTACTTCATACTGTTGTCTCTTCTGAGTTTTCTGTTGCGGACTTCCAGGATTTTATTGTGCACGATGAGACTTACGGGAAGAAAAGGGGCTCCAGGCAGATTTGTTAGAAACGCTCCAGTTGTTGTTCTCACTGGTTAGGGTGAAGCAGGTTGTGACCTTTAATAGATCAGCACAACTCTCTAGGTGTGTTGGTGTGGATGTTGCCGCGAGCAAACAATGTCAACGCCGGATAAAGCCGGTGTTATGGAGCGGATTTGAGTCGTGTTTGTGTAAATATCTCATAAAAGACTGGATGGATTTTAATGAAACTTTCAGAAGTCTTATCATCGTACAAACACCTGCTCAGTTCAAGATGGCCACCACAGCTGCTTTAGATTTCACCCACAAAAATGGCCATAAATCCATAACTATACGGATATTGAGCCTCCATTTCTTGTGCTAGCTGCTGAGAGTCATGTGCTAGAACGTCCTGCTAGATCTTGCATGAGCTGTGCAATTACTCTCAAAATTTGACCAAAACAACTTTATTCCATCAGTTCTGTATTTACAACGGTAGGAAAGGTGAAAATGATCGCTGGGTCTTTTAGTTTTGGGGGAGTTTCCATGGTTGATGTCTTTTACATGCCGGGAATGCAAACCTCGCCGTCCAGCCGGTCCTGATTTTCCCTCTTCGTCATTCCCGCCGAGTCCCAGCCGAGCGCTCACTGTGATTAAAGCAGACACAATTGGAATCAATTTTTCATTCGCAGCCACTTGTCTGTGGTCGAGTTCGTCTCTCTGCTTTGCAGATCACGGCGTAGCGTGAAGCCCCTGATTGCAGATCAGTGCTTATATCTCACCCCGCACTGTAAATAACGAGCGTATGAATGTGTTACACGCTGTAAGCACTTCCTGACTTTATGGATGGTGCTGAAATTCTGCGATGACATTAATGCTGAGGCAGGGTCTTTCTGCCTCATTCTGGCGTACACGGAAGCATCTGGTCTTGCTGCTGTGCCGTCCACTTATGTGAGCTCTTTCTGGGGTATGTCTGTATAAGCATATCTGTGGATTTCTCATTGTCTGCACGGGTTTCTTGTCTCTCTCTTGTTTTTTACCCAGAACTCAGCCAGCCGAGGACCGTGTTTTCTGTGGACTCGTCGGGTAAATACATTTATTTGTGAGTAAAGTTCCTAACCTTTACATGAGAGGAGTTCACAGTCCTGCACTGTTTTGTGTTAGGTGTGGAGTTCCAGGACATCGACGTCCACCTGCGGAGACAGAAGTCCGGGTTTGGGTTCCGGGTGCTAGGCGGTGACGAGGCGGGGCAGCCTGTGAGTTTGGAGACACGTGAGAAGGCTCGTATGGCGATGGGTGTGGAACCCTGTCATTTTCTACTCTCTAACCCCCTGTGACCTTTGACCCTTAACCCTGAGAGAGTGCTGGCTCTGCTGCTTTTGTGTTTACTACCATAAATGTTCTCGACTCTTAACACCCAGCGAGTTTATTTGTGCTGAGATCTTTTGTGGGTCTGACGATTTTGTGGATTAAAACAGATCCTGATCGGAGCGATCATAGAGAAGAGCCCGGCGGACGTGGACGGGCGTCTGCGGCCTGGCGACGAGCTGCTGTTCGTGGATGGGATCCCCGTGGTGGGGAAGCCGCACCGGTACGTCATCGACTTGATGCACGCGGCGGCGCGGAACGGACAGGTCAACCTGGTCATCAGGAGAAGGACTCAGACTGGAGGTGAGAAGACAAGAGACCATCCATCATTGACTTCTGTTAAACACATTTTACTCTAAAACACATTCTCTCTGATTTCTTAAGCTTTTTTGTAGCTTCAGTCTGGAAAAGCATGTTCTCATTATCACTGCCTTCACGTGCAAACGAATCCGACTCCTCAGACTCCAGCCGTCAGTTCCTCCCTCCCCAACAGCTGCGGTCTGACTCATTCCCGGCCTCCTCTGCAGCCTTTACTTCCATCCTAATTGTCTGACTCCCACCAGCACTTTACAAAGTGTCAGACTCCGCTCCCTGCTCTCCGCTCACACTCCTGCGCGCTCCTGGTGCCCCAGATTTGACACGTTTTCGACTTATTCTCATTGGAATAAGTTGCACACTGTAAAGAAATGTAACATGTGGGTGTGGATTACGCAGTGACAAATCTCTCTGCAGCTTCAGCTTAATAAATCAGAGTTACAAGTAAATTACAGTGGAGCTGCAAAAAGATCCATCAGGGCAGGAAAGAGTAGAGTGCTTCTCTCAGGACCCTATGAAGTGCAGCCTAGAAAGGCAGGAAGGAGGTTGTTTTGCTGCATTTATTTGTTTTTGCTCCGGTTTCCTCCCACAGTCCAAAAACGTGACTGTCAGGTTATTTGGTCTTTCTAAATTGTCCTTAGGTGTGTGTGTGTGTGTGTGTGTGTGTGTGTGTGTGTGTGTGTGTGTGTGTGTGTGTGTGTGTGTGTGTGTGTGTGTGTGTGTGTGTGCGTGCGTGTGTGTGCGCGCGTGTGCGTGCGTGCGTGCGTGTGTGTGTGCATGCTTGGTTGTTTGTACTGTGTGTCTCTTGCCCTGTGATGGACTGGCAACCTGTCCAGGGTGTACCCCGCCTGCTTGCCCAGAGACCGCTGGAGACGGGCTCCAGGCCTCCTGCGACCCTGTGTGGATAAGCAGGTTCAGAGATGGGTAGATAAATGTTTTCTGCTTTGAAATGTTGCCGGGTTTGTATTTTGATTCTGCTCAAAAATATGTTTGACCATCAAAGGGTTTTACCAGAAAATGGAAAAATAAAATAAAAATGCACTTTTGCTCTGATGAAGTAGCTGTTTTCCCCAAAAATATGAACATTTTACAACTTTTGCATCATTTGTGAAAATTTTTGTTCTTTTCTTTTAGTCTGAACGACCACTATCCTATGTTTTAGATGTTTCCCTGCATAAACACACTTCTGTGTTTAATCAGTGAGCTCCTGAGTAGCTGAGGAGGTAACTTCATTAATCAGGAGTGTTGGTGCAGAATAACATATTTTATTGGATAGAGACCCGCAAAGACTGGATTTAGTGGCTAACAATTTACAGAGATTACAAATTTAGTCTGTTTTTGCTTCTTTTTTTTAATCATACTCAGTGTTTCCCCTAGGAATTTTTCCAGCTGTGGCGGGGGGGCTTGGGGAGAAATTATGACACGTCTCTAAATAAAGTAAAATTTTCCAGTGCAGAGTGGAGACAACCCATAGAAGCACTGATTTGATCTCATTTCAGAGAAAAATAGAACAGGTTAGATGCACATAATAAATAAAATTACTAACAAACTCAGGAATTTGTTTCTTTGCTTCACTGTTCTGGTGCTGAAAATATCACTAATGCGGATCAAAGGAGATACACAGATGAATGCACCTCTTATTTATTATTTGGAAACTACATTTACTGCAGCTGGCAGAGGCAGAGATTTTTTCTATTGATACACAGAATTTACAGAATCATTTTAAATTTTAATAGGGGAAGACTGCAGGAGGGAGCGGTAAAATACAGGGGGTCCCCAGCAAAAACAAGAAACTTTACGAGTCTGATGAAACCCGCTGGTTTTCCATCAGGCAGTCACGGGGCAGCTCCAACAACCCAGTAGCTGTGCTGGGTCAGTGTTATCGAGCTCAGTCCGGCTCGGCCGTGAACGAGCCGAGGCGACGTCGTGCTCTGCTTAAGAAGAGGTATTTTCCCGCTTCAGAAGAAGCGTCCAACGTGTTTTTACACTTTCTCTGAGACATGTCACGTTGCTAAGTGGTTAGCGCCGCGCGCTAACACGTCAATAGTGCAGCGTAGCCTGCTGGAGGTTTTAAGGGTTCAGACGAAAACACCCGACCTCTCAGGCTGCTCACGCATCGATCTTAAGTTGTCGCTGTTGCGCTCACACCGTAATACAGTATTACATGCAGTTAAAGTCAGACATGAAAAAAAAAAATAAATTTTACATGAATAAGTGATGCTTAGCCTGGTGGGGGGAGGAGAACCTGGCCTAATAAGCACTGGAGGAAACCCTGTCAAGATCGTCAACACTCGTTTATCTTAATGCTATTGAAACCAAAAAGCATTATATCCTCTGCTACCTTTCTAACTTTAAACTCAGTAAGTTATGCTGTAACTTCACCTTGCCCTGCCTGCTCCTCCTTGCTGCCCGCCGGCTGTGATCACAAGCGACAACATAGTAGTTCCCGCTGCTTCTTCGGGAAACAGCGTCAACAAAAACAAAAAAACTTGGGATCTTGTAGGCGTGGCGGTGGGATTTATTTCAGCCGTGGCGGGCCGCCACGGCTACGCCTATGTAAGGGAAACCCTGATACTTGAATGTTTCAGCTAACAAATTTTAGACAAAGATGACCTAGCTTGAAGTTGCTAAAACATCTCAAAAAGTAGCACATCCTGTCCCCTTCTGCAAGGATTCAAGAACCCAGAAGAACATCTAAAGGTCGAGGTTCAATCAATCAATCAGCCTTTATTTATAAAGCACCTTACAGGCATGAGCATGCCACCAAGGTGCTGTACAACAGAAGAATAAAACATATAGTGCCACAGATATAATTAAAACCACAAGTAAGAATTACAAAATATGAAACATTAGCAATTGCTAACCCACAGAATTAAAAGCCAGAACGTAAAAGTAGGTTTTCAGCCTCATTTTAAAAACCGCTACCGATGGAGAGTCCCTAATAGTTAGGGGCAGTGCGTTCCACAGTTTCGGACCCGCAACAGAGAATGCCCTGTCCCCTCTCAACTTCAACCTGGCCTTAGGAGCCACAAGTAGCAGCTGGTTCTCAGAGTGGAGTGACCGGGCCAGAACATATGGCTGCAGCAACTCCGTCAAATAGGTTGGAGCCACACCATTCAGTGCCTTAAACACCATTAAAAGAAGTTTAAAACGAATTCTAAAATCAACAGGCAACCAGTGGAGAGCAGCCAAAATTGGTGTCACGTGTTCATGCTTCCTTTTGTTGTACAAGAATCTTGCTGCAGCATTCTGGACAAGCAGCAGCCGGTTTACGGTACCCTTACTTACACCAAATAAAACGGAAATACAATAGTCGAGTCGTGAGGTAATAAAAGCATGAACAACAGTCTCAAGGTCACGTCTAGATAAAAACAGATTTACTTTAGCCAATCGTCTTAAATGATAAAATGAATAGGATTCTACAGTACCCACATGAGCATCCATGCAGAATGCACCGTCCATCTTCACGCCAAGGTTGACTGCTGAAACACCCAAATATGAGTTCAATTCACCGCGGTCTACGTTTGAACAGTGCCTTTGTTTTTTTCCCATTGAGACACAGGAAGTTTTCTGCCAGACAATCCAAAAAATGTTTTATTGTGTGATCACCGACGCCATCTAGAGGCAAGTACAATTGGCAGTCGTCGGCATAGAGATGGAATCCAATTCCAAACTTTCGTAAAATGTTACCCAATGGGAGAATATAAATTGAAAACAGCAAGGGTCCCAGTATTGAACCCTGCGGTATCCCCCATGGCAGATGTGAGAAGCCCGATGAGAAGCCACCCATCCTCACACAAACCATCCTGTCACGTAAATATGATCTAAACCAGTTTAGGGCTTGCCCAGAAATTCCCACATAAGACGAGGTGTTGTGTGCTCAGGTTTTTGTTGATCTGAAGCATTTAAAGAGCTCTCTGTCTCCCCCTACAGGTGAGTCCTGCCCAGAGAACAGCCGAAGCCCGGGTTCGGTCTCCACGCAGCACAGCTCGCCACGCAGTGACTTCACCTATGGAAACAGCACCAATACAACCCAGGCTCCCGGTACAAACGTGGCCAACAACGCAGCTGCACCAGACGGGACCGCCAACCAGCAACCGAGTGATGTCACCATCAGCCGAAAGGAGAGCGAGGGCTTTGGCTTTGTCATCATCAGCTCGCTCAACCGGCCGGAAACGGTCGCAACTAACAGTGAGTCAAACACACACATGTCCTCTGCCTAACAGCTGCTTCGAGTGCTGAATCTTGTTTAGGAGCTCTTAAAAACATGTAAACCAGCAGGCGGTCACTAAAACAAGAGCCAAACTTTAGCAGACAAGCTAGTTAAAGTCACGGCTGAATAAAAAAGTGAAACAGCTCTCAGTCTAGCTCGTCAATAAAACATATCCTCCCTCAGCACGTCAGTCACACACATCCCTACTATGCTGCTGTGAGCATCCGCGCTTCGCCCACGCACAAAAAATATTCTGGATATCTTACGTAAGCCTTGGGTGAAATGCAAAAAGAGAGATAGAGAGACGGAGAGCGACTCAGTCAGTCTGTGAGTGAGTTTGGTGTGAGAACGGACGATAGACAACCTGAATCCTCCCCAACAGCTGTGCCCCATAAAATTGGCCGGATCATCGAGGGCAGCCCGGCGGACCGCTGCGGGAAGCTGAAGGTGGGAGACCGGATCCTGGCTGTGAACGGCCAGTCCATCGTCAGCATGCCGCATGCGGACATCGTCAAGCTGATCAAAGACGCGGGCCTGAGCGTTACCCTGAGGATCATCGCCCAGGAAGGTGAGCAATCACTCAGGTCAAACGTACTCACTGTTTCATTGTTGGGGGATCAGAAGGAACTTTCAGAGTGAGATTTTAATCCCAGAATTGCATCTACCTGAGCATAAACTCCTAACGGCCTTAAAAGGGCTGCATTAAACGGGACTGACCCACATGAAACACGAACAGATGGACAAACTGCTTCTGCTCGCTTCGTCCTCTGGCGCTGAAATGTAACTAAAGATGTGTGGAGAGTTTCTGCTGCAGGAAGCCCTTCCTTCCTAATTTAACCCTTGTTTCACTCGTCTGCAGATTTGATCCTGCTTCCATTTGCTCACCGTTTCTCTGGGAGTAATCAGTGCTCTCCTTGACTGCGTCGTTTCTGCTTGAAATTAATTTAGTTTCTGACACGAGGAGACGTGAGAAAAGAAAAGCTGCGGAAGAGAAGAGGAGGATTAACGATGTTCGTGATGATAATGGAAATATATACACGAAATCCAATTTTCAACAAAAGAAATGAACGTAGAACTCCTTCAGCCAGCCTCCTCTCTTCTCCAGCAGCTGAGACCAGGCGTTTAAAGGTCATGAATGTGTTTGAATTTAAAAAGATTCCATGAAACTTCAACTTAGATTGGTTATGAGCACAATGAAGTCACTTCTAAGAGACAAGGAAGGCATAACTGTTTTGAGTGAATAAGCACCAAACATATCAGAATCAGTCAGTATTCAGTCTCTATCGGTTTTTGGCAGATCTGAAATGCAAAAATCAAATTATATGTTTGGTCCATGAACACACCATCACCAATCAGGATGGAATGAGAAATCAGAACTTGATATCGGCCCTTAAAACCTGGATGGGTGCGTCATGAGGACGTAATCCTTAAAAAAGGCTTTAATTTGGCTTTGGAAAAGGTGTAAGAGCCTTGAATTTGAGAAAATATCCTAAAATGTGCATTTTTTTAAATTAAATTGACCAAATGCATCATACAGTCTTCTGCCCATTGTCGTGAAACTTTGCAAACTCTTCCGGGATTTATTTGCACGATGTGTTACGAGTGACTCCCAGGGGGATTTCTCTTCAGGATAATCCAGGCGGCTGATGAAAAACTTCAGTCGGCTGTGTGTGCTCATGGCCACTAGCTGTGGCGGCCATGTTGGATTAGGTCGAAACCAAAAGCTAATAATCAGTCATAGGTGCACATGAAGTCAGAGAGGCAAAAACATCACCTGCCTTCCCACCCTCTGGCCACAGACGACGGTAACGTTGAAATCTGAAAATGATCAAATTAGTTTTATTAAACCAGATGATCAGTATTGATTAAATTTATTTATGCTGCCCCCAAGTGGTCAAAAATTGTTTATTGTTAAGAACCGTTCTAATAATATTATTTAATTTTGTATCACAGAGGTCAGCAACCCTCCGTCAGCCCCCACCTCGGAGAAGCAGAGCCCCATGGCTCAGCAGCACAGCCCCAAGGTCCATTCCAACCCCGCGGCTTCCCAGCCCAGCCTAGCCCCAACGGAGCCAAACCTCCAGCCCAACTCGGTGCCCCATCAGAGCCCGCTGACCCAGCTTCCCGCTCCTCCACCTCAGACCTACGCTCACGATGGCAGGTAGGACACAAACGCGGCCCGGCTCATCCCGGTGCCGCTTGCCCCACAACGCGGCGTTTGTATCGACTAACCTTCGTCTGTGTCTGGGGTGAAGCTCTTCCTGTGGGAGTACAGGCTCCGCAGAGGCAGACGTTTGTTTTATCTGTTCTTGGTCTCTCTTCAGCAGCAGTTGTACTTCTTTCACTTTTCTCTCACCATCTCCCCAGTCTCCATTCATCTTGTTGCCCTCTCCTCTCTATGAGGTGTAACTTATGTTATCTCCTACAGACTCTTAAACGTTTGACTCCACACGTGTGGCTTTTTGCAGAAATCGGATGAATCGTTTACCAGCAGTCCAGAATCAACAGTGTTTTTAGCATTTCTCTCTAAAATCCATTTTTTGATTGTTTGTTTTTTTACTCAATCCTGATTTATTCCTGTCAGCTGCGGACATCAGACACACAAGCCGGGTTTGTCTGTTAGTTACAGGTCTGAGGTGAAGGCCAGGCAGGACGTCAAGCCAGACATCCGGCAGCCATCTTTCACAGATTACAGGCAGCCTCCTGTAGATTACCGGCACCCCCCTGTGGCGGATTACAGGCAGCCACCCACGCTGGACTACAGACACCCACCGCTGCTGGACTACAGACAGCTAGCCACAGATGCGCGGCAGTTCACCATCCCAGACTACAGGATGCCTCCAGTCCAAGTAAGAATGTGGAAAAACAACCTTCCTGCCTTCAGAAATGGGACGTTTGAGGTCGGTTCAGACACTCGTGTAATTTTAAAATGATGTTTTTGTAATTAAATGACCATAAAGGAGGTAAAAAGGCAAACAAATGAGAGAATTCCCTCCCGTTCCAGCAGATCGTGTTTGGTTTCATCCACTTTGATGTTTTTGTTTCTGTTCCTCCAGCTTCAGGCAGCATGTTTGCTTCTGTCAGGCAAAACGAAACACAAACTCAAGGACAGTAGGCGTTATCGAAGCCCTGCGAGTGTTTAATGGAGAGATCCTAAATCTCCACGTTTTCCTGCAGACCCTGTGAACCAAATAAAAATAACATTTTTAGTTAGGTTTCACTTTTAGACCATATTTTAATTTGAATATTTTTTACAACAAATCAGACTCTTAAGATGCAGATTTTCTATTTAAAATGATCGTTTTTGTGCTTTCTGCTGATTAATTTATGTAATAAGGATCTTAATAATAAATTCCCTCATTAAATCTGTTATTTGTATAAAATGCATGCAAGATGAGCTGATTTAGTCTAATTCTGATTCATTCTTTAATATCTTCACCAGACTGAGACACATTTGGACCAAAAAAACAAACATTTTCCATCTAAATTGCTTTAATTCTGTATCAGATGCTGCTTTTCCCCCCACATTTATAATCTCTGTGAATCTTTGCGTTTGCTCCAGCTTTCCCAGGACTTTGACTTCTTCACCGTGGAGCTGGAGAAGAGCGTGAAAGGCTTTGGCTTCAGCATCCGCGGAGGACGGGAGTACAAGATGGACCTGTTTGTCCTGCGACTGGCGGAGGACGGGCCGGCCATCCGCAACGGGAGGATGAGGGTGAGTTCCACGGCGTCTTTAAGCGTTAAGCTGCTGGCTGTCACCCTGGATTACATGGCAGACACTCACTGTAATTGTAATTTTATCAACGCTGCAACCTCCTCATCTCAGAGATCTCCTCCCACATTTCCACCCCTCATCCCCCCCCCTGCATGGATCACATTTAGTTAAAACCTCAAATTGTGCTTAAGTGTTTGCACAGCTGCACCTCCCTCTAGTTTTAGTGGCTCAAACATCAAAGCAGAACACACATTTTCTGAATTCCTAATGATGCAGCAACAAATGCTGTGGAACTAGTAATAAAATCCCTCAGCTTCTCTCGTCGAGCTCCATCACTGCTCAAAATAAATTACAGCATCCAACGCAGCCTTTTTCTTTCTTTACCTTCTGTTTTTGTCAATCCCCTCTGCTTCCTTCTTCCCCTTTTCTTGCATCTTTAATGACCTTTGTGTTTGGGGCTGATAGCCCGAGTATGCTCTACATTTCTTATCTGTAATGAACCTGTCAAAGATAATGTGTGTAAAAAGCCCCTGAGGGAGGGATTACTCTCCCTCCCGGATGGTGGAGCCGGCAGAGTCCAGTGAGCCCAGACAACTCGTGGAATGGGAGGAGGAATCCCGAATGGGCGGAAATGAAAATAACGTTAGATTGAAATAATGTGGAACTGCAATTTCACAAATGCAAATAAAAAAATCTCTCAATCTCAGCTGAATCTGCTGAAGCTTCTCTGCAGTGCACATGAGAGCTTGCACATCTATAAAGCAGCACTAATATTAAACATATTTGCAGCACGATGCAGCAGAGTCTATTGTAATCATTGAAGCCACTTATTTCTGAATTTTGACTCATTCAGACGTAAATAGTCTCCTAAACTCTGGAAATAAACCAGCTTTTGTGCTGAACTGTAACGTAAAAACTAGCTAAGGAATTTTTAAGTGAATGTGGAGTTTTGTTTCCAACAGCCTGTCAAAAATAAACAACTTTTTCTCCTTTCTTTAGGTTGTTCTATGAAAAATACAAAGAAAATAGCAGTTGTTCTGATAGAATGGCACCTTAGGACCAACAAGCTGATTCTCAAAGAGCCATATGTGTAAAATGTGTCATATATCAAAAATCTGACGAAGGAAGAAGCATCCTCGTGTTTCAAGTGCTGTAAGTAGATTCAAAGAGCAGAAACTGAAGTTATGAAACGACCCAGGAGCCCTGATAAGTGGCCAGACAGAAACCCATAATAAAGTCCTACAGTGGTTTGCCCCGTCCACTCAGCCAGGACATGAATGTTAATGAGCTGCGTGCTGATTGGCTGCTTTACCCTGATGGCTCTAATAGCTCAGTTCCACTGCAGGGTTCACGACGGGTCGGGACGAGTCATCGTCGGCCAGTGGGGCCCGGTTTGGCTCTGCTATTTTAGGAGAGCGTTTCAGTCGCAGTTTGGACTCTCACTTGGTGGTGGTGGGGGGGAACTTACAATCATTTTAAGGTATTTCATGAAAACTTTACGCAGCATTTCAGGATTTTGTGCTGCAGTGAATGGCCTGCAGAGCTAAAGGCAAAAAAGAAATGCTTTCTTCAGCTTGGCCCACTACGTCCGCTTGAATCAGTCAGCTGACATCCGCTGAGAAACTTCATTCCTTAGCAATCCGCCTAGCTCTTCCTAATGTGGCTGCTGCCGACGATGGCGAGGAATGTTTGAAGCTCTGAAGCTGACCAAACCTTGCTGCTAGTAATTCCTGGCATTTCCTCACATTTGTGTAAAACTCATGAAAATACAAAACTCTGGAACTCTGGTAGTGATGTTTTTCCTTCCCGCAATCAAGTGTTGACTGTGCTGTCGCCTCTCCCTAACCGGTCCAATCCATTTTGCTATGAACCTACAACAGACGGGGGCCACAAAAGTGCCATCAGTGGCAACTAGTCCTGAACCCCACAGTGGTACCGAGCTGATTAGACTGCCTGAAGCTAGAATCCATGTACAGCTGTGTTCAGTATCCAGATAACTCAATAGGCAAGCTATGGATCTACCATTCTACACGTGGATATCTCCGGTACATCCTGGTACGTTACGTGTTCTCCGAATTCCTCATTGTTTTTAATTTCGTACAACAAGGATGTTAGCAGTAGCTCTGGCTAGCATTAGCAGTAGCTCTGGCTAGCATTGTTCCAAGGTTAGCATTATCATGACTGACCTTTTTGCATTGCTGACAATGAATTGACTAAAAATTTACTTAGAACATTTATTGGAAGACAGAGTAAATATGAACTAAAAGGACATGAATTATTTACAATACCTAAGCATAGAATAATTATAAAGGAGCGCTATGTCTGTATATATGTAGTTAAAATGTGGAATAAGCTAGGTAATGTAATCAAGGATGCAAAACAATATTTACTTAAAAAACTCATTAAAAATGAAATACTGGAATCGTGTATGTGCAAATCAATTATATAAAAAATATATATATACATATATAAAATTATAGTTATATGTGTGTATGTATAAGTATGTATGTTTGTGTATGTGTTATATGTAGTGGATACATGTGTATGTCTATATGTATGGATGAAGTATGTGCGAGCGTATGGGCATGCGATGCACTTTAATGTATATATGTATGAATAGGTATATGTGCAAAAATCCTTTTGCTTTTTGAATTGTTATTATTACTATTAATTTTCTCTTCTTTACAAATTGAACTCAAGTCAGCTAACCAGTCAAGCAATTACTTTGTATAGGCTAATTAATAAGTATTGTTATTTCATTGTAAAAATGTCATTTTAGTTAAAAAGGGGCAGATAAGTTTTCTTCTTTCTGTTCCCTTTTCATTTTCTTGGTTTGAGAAACCTCAATTTATTTGTTAGTATTGGTTTTTTTTTCTATTTTAATAATAAATGAAATAAATATGTAAAAAAAAATGGTTGAGACGTGCTAACTTAGCATGACGTGTTAAACCAGCTTTCCTCAGAATAAACCGTTTCGCCCATCAGAGTTTTAACTGGTTTATTTCAGGTGTTCTGTACACTTTATACCATCTTTGCGTTTACTGCACATAGAAAAACTAAAGCAAAAGTTTTTTTTCTTTTCCCTCTTGAGTCTAATTTGTTGCAGATGAGTGAGCAGAGTCACTCTGCTTCTAGACGTGTGGAGATAAACTCCACTCTGTGATCTCCATAGATTTCTTAGAAGGGGACGCTTTGATCCCACTTCCAGCCGTCCTCCGTCCGTCCTGCTGTGTTCAAAGGGAAATCAGTCTGTATTTAACTTTAGTGAATATTCCTCACATGGCTGTCACTTTGGGTCTGAGTGGTGTTTCTAGACTAAATCAACTGACGTCACTTCTCTGATACTAGGGATGTGAATCTCAGAGCAACTCACGATGTGATTCGATTCCGATTCTCGGGGTGCCGATTCGATTCAGAATCGATTCTCGATTTAAATCGATTCACAATCAGTATTAACGAAGAGTGTCAGCTCCAGGATTAACTACTTTGTTGTGCAAGTTAGTTAACGCTATGGGACATTTTTATTTTACTTTAAACTGGTCATGCTAAAAAAAAAGCTAATTTACAAGGTAAACTAAAGTGATTCTAAAACTGTAAACAGAAACAATCTTTTGACCAAAAGGCTAAATTTATATTTGCTTACCTTGTAAAATATAACAAATCTGTAGTTACCTAACAGTAGCTTTGAAAGTAATACGGTCACATACTTTTTAAGTGTGTGTGGAAACAAGTTTAACATTTGAGTCCTCAGCCTGTTTAAAAAAAGTGCCGCAGATTTCTTACAAAGGAAAATGTTTTCTCTTATTTATCAACAACTTCAAATAAACACGAGTAATCCTGAGTACTCACTTATCAACTTAGAAAATAAATATGAGAATATCTCAAATTTCTGAGTATGGAAAAAAAATTACATTCTAGTCCCCACTTATCAGCAGATTCAGAAATAAATCATCCCAATTCATGGGACCACAAAAGTAAACAGAGTACAAACTCTTTTAACAAAGACCAAAAAAAAACAGACAAAAGTGCATCTTAAACCTGTAACACACCGAACATTTGAGTTCCTGGAATCGATTCTGAATCTTTATAAATAACGCCGGGGACACACCGGCCGCGGAAGCGCCGAGAAGCGAATCGCTCACGAAATTCGGCCGCTGCTCGCCGCTCCTCAGTTCAGATCAGACGCGCCCCAGTCGAGGCGCGCCTCGGCTCAGCTGTAGTTTTTCTTTTAACCACTTGGTGTCCTCCATTTCCTCTCTGCCTTTTCTCAGCTCTTTTCCTCTACGTTTGAGTGTTTGTACGTGTGTGTGTGTGTGTGTGTGTGTGTGTGTGTGTGTGTGTGTGTGTGTGTGTGTGTGTGTGTGTGTGTGTGTGTGTGTGTGTGTGTGTGTGTGTGTGTGTGTGTGTGTGTGTGTGTGTGTGTGTGTGTGTGTGTGTGTGTGTGTGTGTGTGTGTGTGTGTGTGTGTGTGTGTGTACCTATGGTATGAGTTGTTTCTGCCAGTTGAATCTCTTGGAACCCGCTCCAATTCTGCAGCTGTATCCTAGCAGTTTCTTCCGAAATGGGTATGTAAATAATCATGTTTTTCGGGGGTCATACAGCTCCTTGTGTTTCTCAACTTCCATAATTAATTTAAAGTCATCCATCTGAACTGCTTGCCTCAGACTTTCTGCCTCTCTGTCCTGCTTACTCCGGAAAAAAGACACCCAAAATCACACCCCCTTCACGTGGTCACACACGCACACAAGTTCGATGTGTGTGTGTGTTCGTGTGGTTTTTCTGCAGTCTCTGATTATGAACACATTTGACTATTGCGGAATTTTATTTTGAAATGCTTTATTCTGTTAAATTTACCAGCCTGCCTCTTGTGTCTAGGTTTGACTTCCTGCCAGAATTGACGCGATTCACCCGCGGCTCGCGAAAAAAATAGAGCAGACTCCAAAACGATCGCTGCGTGGCGCGGGCTGGAGCGCCGGCGCGAGGCGATTCGCGGTGCTTCTGCGGCCCATGTGGTCTATAGAATAGCTTAACAAGGGCGCCGAATGAAGGTGGTCCCATTTTCGTGGCGCTGCCGCAGCCGATGTGTCCCCAGCATAAGAATCCCGATTCAGACTTGAATCGATTTTTTTCAGCACCTCTATCCGATAACCTTGAAACATGAAAAAAATCTGTTTTTATTTTAAAGCTCCAAACTAATCAGCCACTAAGTGTTTACGTCTGATGGGGGGGGGGGGGGGGGGGTAGGAAATTGTGTGGGTGATTTACAATCACACAACATTCCAGCAGGTTTTTATCACCGCTTTAAGCTTTAACTCTTCGATGAAACTGAGTTGTTCGTCAGCGGAGTCTAATAGAGATGACTCCCTCATCATCTCCACGTCATGCTCTCTGATCTCAGCATCCACAAGCTGTCCATTCAGGTTTATTCCCCTTTTTATGGGAGATGAAAATGGAGATTGCTCTGCTGTTTGGAGGTCAGCATTAATGAGTAAATCGTCTTGAACTCCACCTCCTCTGCTTCTCTCCAGACCACTGTAATAACACCTAATGACACACACACACACACACACACACACACACACTCAACTTGAGTCCTCCTGGCTTTCATTTTCCCCGACCATTACCGGAGGACTTCTCCATTTGTTAGCGTAATTGTTCAGCTCGTTTCGTCCTGTTCCTCGCAATTCCTCCCCATTAGTCAACCTTGGAGCTCGTTGTCCGTTATTTAACTCACGCTTGTGTGCGTTACAGGTTCTGACAAGGAAAAATAGTCCAGTTGGTTTTGATGTTAGCTGCTAAAGTAACTGCCGCCTCAAATTGAGAAGATGTTGGAATTCATCAGAGTGGGGTAAAAAAAAGCATCTCTATATTCTGATAGTCTGTTTTATCAGATGTATGAGATGCTCATTAAAATGGACAAGTTGGCCCTTTTTAAGGATGTGGTTTGCTGAAAAAGCATTTTTAATTGTTATTTCTGATTATAATCTGTCAGTTTTTCATTCAGGCTGAACATAAAAATAGTCTCCTACGCCTATCTTCTGCGTTAGCTTGTGACAGAAACTAGATATTAAACTCTAGGATTTGAAAATCCTGACAGATCTTCGTCACACTGTCACTTAACATTCATGGACTCACCCATCTTGACTCGTGACGGGGAAGGCTGTTGTTGGTTTAGCGTCCAGGGATCCGAGAACATCTCAACTAGTAGAGCTAACCGTTAGCATTAGCAACTCCACCACACAGCAGCACTCCTTCAGGCTTGCGTTGTGTATATGTGGAGATAAAACATCAATGTCGCAGTGCAAACAGAGTCAGCGGTAGAGTCGTGTTGCTGTTATCCAATCAGAGGAGAGATGTCTAAATATCAGGAAGTAAGACTCCACATCCTGCTTTCTGAAGCTCAACTCTTTTGTGGCTCACTTCTAGTTCCTGAATCTGGCACAGTGGTGCTTTTTTCCCCCCAGAGAATGACTTACAAGGCATTCATTCCTAGAGAAATGCAAATGTGTTGATTAAACGAGTAAACCTCTTCTTTAGGTTTCTTTTCATTATTCTGGTTAAAAGGTTTTATTGATGCACTAAAATCTATAAACATGACATCAGTACTGAACAGGAGTTTACCCTCACAGGCTCACGGTTTGTGCTTCTCGGACATTCAAATTTACTCTGATCTCAGAATAAAGGAGTTATTTTTCTTTGACAGTAATTTCAGTCATTTAATTATTTTTATTTATTATCGTTATTATTATTAACTTTATTTAGAAAGCACTTTCAATCAAAGTTAAAGAAAAACATGATAAAACCATACTTTTAAAAACAAGTAAAAGTCAGTAGTGATATAAAACGGCAATAAAAATAAACTGTATATTTTTAATCGTATTTAAATATATGCTGCATGAATGTGTGCTCAATGTGACCAATAAGAGAAATAGTTTTTAATAATTCTTCATACAAGTAGTGTTAGATGTTTCCAGCGCCGACACACCTGGTTTGAGTTGGTGGACGGTAAACGGACCTCTGCAGAAGTTGAGGACACGCTGAAAAAGACTTTCAACAATTGAATAAAGAGCAGGAAAACATCTCAAACAAACAGGGTAGAAGCGAGGGCTGGTCACTGGTGATGGAAAAGTTCTTAATAATAATAATATTTTTGAGAAGGTGGTCCCTAAATCTAGTCCCTGAGGGCCTCTGTCCTGCAGGTTTGAGATGCTTCACCACTCTGAACACGCTGGAGAACATGAGAACTGTTGAATTAGGAGCAGGGAAACCTTTAGCACATGCAGAATAGCCGCCCTAGAGAACCAGGATTGGAAGCCAGTAACATAAAATTATTGTTTTGTTTTTTTAATGTTTTATCATCCAAATCCAGTCCTGAGGGGCCACCGTCTTTAACGTTTCAGATGTTTTTCTCTCAACACCTTAGTTTTAAATTTTAGTCACCCATTCATTTGGAGGGAAACCTCCAAAACATGCAGGATACTGGTCCGCAAGTACCTGGATTGATTACAGCTGCCTTAAACTATACAGAAAAATATAAAGTAAAGGAAAAGTTTCTGTTTTCTGGTACTTTGTTGGTTGAACAATGATCTCTGCCTGGCAGATGTGTTGTTCTTTTTGTTCATGATGGTCTTGTTGGAAAAAAGTTAAAGTGCCTCTTTATCCTGTTGCCAAATGAAGCTCTGGCGCTTCGTACAGATCCCAAATTAGACTATTTTTGGAGTGAAATTTTTCTCTCATTCTTTCATTCCCTGTTCTCTGCAGTTGTTTACTCTCTTTTTAAGCATCAACATCCGTTTGTTTTCCCCACAACCCTATTATTCGGCGTATTAATAAAGCGACATTTTTCCTGTTTGCTGGGTATTAGTTTGAACTCTGCATAAACCTTTTTCTTGTCCATCGACGACTGTGACACCCAGGTCGGGGACCAAATCATTGAGATCAATGGAGACAGCACGCGGGACATGACCCACGCCAGGGCCATCGAGCTCATCAAGGCCGGAGGCAGACGAGTCCGTCTCCTCCTGAAGAGGGGGACGGGGCAGGTCCCGGAGTACGGTAAGCCTCTTAGGTCCATGTGCAGCATGAGGGCTCCTGCTCACAATCACGTCTTTCTTAACATTAGAACAGTAAACTTTAACCTGCTGTAATCTCTATTAAAATAATCTGGCATGTGTTTATTTCCATAATATACCTTCTGTCTTTATGCTCTTTATGTCTGTATTTTACTAAACTGTGATTTAAAGTCAAAGCTGCCTGTTTGTCTCTCTTCTCTTGACTAACGCTAGTTTATCTTCTGTCCATTTCAGTGATCTATCACTAATTGATTGGTCTAGGTTGTTACTTCCCCTTCTATAGGAATGGTATCTTCCAGTCTCTCCATGTGCATGAAAAGTGACAAGCATGGCTCCCCCTATTTCCTCCTAATGGACCACTCTAAAGACACGGTTTGTTTTTCTCATCCTTTGCCCCTGGCTTTCTGTGCTGTGCTGTTTACTGTTGTTTTCTCTATTTTTTCCCACTGGATTACCTTTTAACGTCCCCTTTTGCTGCAAATAAGCAAAGATTTGTCCCTTGTGGGATAATCAGCAAAGCTGCAGGAGTTTTGCAGAATTAGTGAACATGGCTCACTTCCTCGCTGAACCATAAATCAACCTCCAGCAGCTACCCGCACGCCTAAAAATATATGCCGGAGTCAGCTGGAGAGGAACGTTAAATATCGTCTCGGATTATTTACCTGGTAAAAAAAATAATCTTGGCGCAGCACGAATGGAGCCTGTAAGGTGATTTTTATTTATGCGGCACCGCTGGAAATAAACGCTTGCTCCCGTGGCTTCTTCATCAGCACGAGGCTCACTTTAACTTCAAAAGTCATTTTTAGCCGTTAAACTCCAAAGTTATTTATCAACATCTGAGTTTATTTGATCCCTTCAAACACCGGAAAAGACGGGTCCAGCCATGGGTTTCATCGCCATTTAGAAATTCTTTTTTTTTTTACAAAAGGCTCTGAGGCTCGTCCTGCTGCTCTAATAAAAATGCAGACGAGGAATTAAAAAAAAAAGTATGTTGATGTCAGCCAGACAACAATATGTGGGTTTGATTCAGCATTTTATCACTCAGACCTTCATTTGCAGACATTAAATGAAGTGATTAGGATTTAAATTGTTTGAACGACGGGAGGAGGAAATCCGTTTTACGTTGAGTCGTGACTTTTTTAGAAACTGCAAAAACGATAAATGGATTTTAGAGAAGTTGATATAAAACTTTATATTTGTGAATGAAAGTTATTCACTAATTTATGGGTTTAAATTACTAAATGCTTCAGTTTTACTTTAGAACTGAACTTCTTGTAGATTTGTGCAACTAATCAGTAAACAATGTAACTGATAAAAATGATTATTTTTGAATTATTTAGCTGACTCGTAAAAAACACGATGAAATGTGGTGACATTTTCCCATATGCACTAATATGAAATGTTATGTTTTCTTAACCAGAAAATCTGGGTTTAGTGGAGCCAGTAACAGCTGGTCCAGAGTAATAAAATTTTACTTCCAACATAAGATAAGTAAAGAAAATCGAACGTTGGTAAATTAACCCAAAGTAGCTGACTTAAGTTTGTATAAATGAATGCTGTTAACATAAATTTTACTTTTAGAGTTAACTCTAAATTAGTTTATTTCATCGAACATTTATGGATTTCCCCTGACTGAGTCCAATAAACTCCCATTCCAGTTACAAAAACCTAATTTAGTGGAACCATTTGAAACAACTGGGTCAAGTAATCCCAACATTTCTATTTATTTGTGTAATACGGAAAGCAATTTTGGTCAATATTAATTTGCACAAATCCCTATTGGGATTAAAGTGACTTGATTACGTTGGATTAAATCACACATTTTTAGTTGTTTTAAAATCTTGAGTTGCAGTTTAAGTACAATGAAAACAGACTTTGTTCACCATAAAAATGTAATTTATCTGAAAATAAAACAGGCAACATCAAAATTTCCCTTCTGCGAGCTGTTGTAGCAGCTCTTATGGGAGCACTGTCTGATCAAACGGAATAAGTTGTAATTAGCTTTTGTCTGCATGTTTTCAACTCATGTCTGGAAGACATTAGCCATTTTATGTTGGTATTTAAAGCCATACTATGCAACTTTTTCATATTTTTGAATAATTTTCTTGAGCCAGGATGTGCTAAAATGACCCTTTACAGGGTTAATGAAATGTCACTCAGACCTCCACCACCTTCTGTGGCCAGAATATCACACTTGCAAATAGGGCTGCAACAAACGATTATTTGGATAATCGATTAATCGGATGGGGTCTCGACACGATTAATCGATTAATCGGATTACATAGGGACATTTTTTAAAACTGCTAGGGAAACGTTATTTTTCTCCTTCCTTCACTTTATTAAACACAACATTATTAGAAAACAGTTCAATAGCAGAAAACCAACATGCCATCACCTAAATTGTCTTATAAGGTGTATAGACAGAGACCTTAAGCTACATCTATCTGTGACCTAAAATGCTTGGTCCAAGTTAAACAGCTTAAAGAGCAAGTCAACCCCTACCAGAATCTAACTCCACTCCTGCTTCATGTTTGAAAAATGCAACACATGCTGTTGCCTGGCAGACCGAGAGGGCGGAGCCGCTAACAAATACACACACACTCAGGCTCACGACAGCATTGTGACATCATATTGTACCAGTTTACATCATAGCATACTTCTTAGCCAATAGCGGTGGCAGATTTAAATTAAAATACAGTGCAGAGTTTTTACCTGACAACGGCACAACACTGCCAGTTTTAGGCAGAATATTTAAATTTTAACTAAGATGCACTGAAGTGCCAAATTATTGACGACACGTGTCTGCAGCACGATTAGACACTCGTTTATTTAGTTTATCAGCAAAAAAAAGTTTATTTGGGGGTGACTTGCTCTTTAAGGGCAATTCTCATCTGTTTTGTTTGATCTCATCTGTAGACATTTATTATAATTGGGGATGTCAAACAACTAATTTTTAAATGTAATTAAACATAGGCTGTGAATTAATCACTATTTCCAAAAATGACTGAAAAATACCAAATAAAACAAAAGTAAATGAATGCCATTCTCCTTGTGATGATGCCCTGGGCAACTGCCATAAAGTCACATCAAGAGATGCTGCTGATCATTCCAATGATCCCAAATAGACTCACATTAGGACACATGAAAGCAACTGAACCCAAAAATATATTAACCAGTATATAACTACACGCACACAACACGCCTGCAGCAACAGTTAGGACTCCTCCCTCCCTTTTAAAAGCGTTTTCGCTTGTGAGGACATTGTGGTTGTAAAGCCACATCTTAGTAGTCTGGCCCCGGTGTGATCAACCAGTTTCTGCGGGAATGTGACGGCGGAACCGGTTCGCAGCGGCGCGAGTCGTTCCCCCCCCCCCCCCCCCTCCCCCCCCCCCCCCCCGCCTATCTAATAGCGTCGCGCTTACAATTTTATAGACTTTTTTTTATGAGCTTAGGGCATGTCTAGCCTGTGTAATAATCCGGGGCTTGGGTAAATCACTTTTGAAAAGTTTTTTACTTACCCGGACACCGAGCTCTCTCCTTCCTCGCTGATGATTCTGACATGCTTGCGTTTAAGATGCTGCATCATCACCGTAGTATCCCCGTGCCATGCTAAGTCTGACCTACAAACGTTGCATGTCTTCGCCTGATTTAACTGAAAATGCTCCCAAACTTTAGAAGTTTTTACTTTTTTGGGGTCTCGCTGCTTCTGCCATGTTCCTCTTACAAACACCTGCCGGCTCTCCACCGGTCTGCGCGCAACGGCGGGCAGGAGGGGAGGGGGCTTTTGGAAGAGTTGCGCAACACAACGAATCGATGACGCAATTCGTTGCCAAGGCTTTTAGTAATCGATTTTCATCGAATTTATCGATTCGTTGTTGCAGCCCTACTTGCAAATTCAGAGTGCCTGTCCGGTCTTTAGGACTTGGTAAAAAGTGGAACTGACATGGCAGCGCTGGTGTCTGCTTCAAGCACGTTTCTTGCATGACTTAGATCATGAACACAGCGGATTTGTTTGATTTAGTGATTAACCGCTGCTGTAGACACTAATGAAGGCTGGGGAGAAATTTCAGCTGTTCGATTAAGGTGTTAAAAAGATGAACGCACAGCAAGGAAAAACTTTAGGTTTCACTAAGGGAACACTAGGGGGTACTAAAAGCAAGACAAAACTGCCTAGAATCCCATTAAAGGTGCATTATGAAAGAATGAAGTAGGACTGACATCTTGTGGTCGAATTAGGGTACTGCAGCCACGATCGACTCATCATTCACCTCAAACATACATTTCACTGTAATATCGAGTTGTTGGTAATTGAGATATTGTTAGAGCCGACTATTTGCTTCTAATTAACCATTAGCGTTAGCCTCTAGCCCTCTTCACCTGATACTAGAGTAAAACAAAAAGATGACGTGCCTTCTTAGGGATACAAGAAATAACTTCTGGGTCGCTCCTGTTTACTGGCTTGGTTCTTTAAACAACTCTGGAGATTTGTGCCTGCCGGTGTCAAATTACAAATGCATTGCATGCTTGGCGCAGACTTGGCAACTTTGAAGGCTCACAGAATGCATGTTACCATGTCCCTCTTTAGTTTTTTTTTAAAAGAGATAAACAACCAGCATCCTCCCAGCTGGCTGAGAAGGAAACCTGCTTCAGTGTAACCTTCCTTCCAACTTGATTAAGACTAATTAGACTGTTTTGTGATTATTTCACTGTAGGATTCCTAAATGTTGTTGCTTTAATGTTTCTAGTATGGTTAAAGTCATTTTTGGTCTTATGATTTAGTCTCATAGGTTTAATCACCACTACACAGCACAACTCTGCCACCTGCTGATGTAAATATGTGTCTGCAGTGTTCTTTAAATGTGAAATGCAAATTAGCCTCTAGCTAGACAATCTCTTATTGTGCTGTCCTTGTTCAATAAACTCAAACTAAACTAAACTTTGGATAGTTTAAGCTTTACAGAGTCAGGAAATTGGATTTCAAGACAGCACATATCGGTGATAAAGGTATATATTTCTGATGATAATCTTTCATATTTTCCAACTATAGCCCACAGATACAAAGGCTCTTATTTTGACGAGCCACACCGCGCATTTCTTGTGTTTACACTTGAAGAGGTTAACGCAACCCATTCCCAAACTCAAGAGAGTTCTTTTTAAATAATGTTTTTACTAGGGCCGGGACTCGATTAAAATTTTTTTATCTAATTAATTAGAGGCTTTTTTAATTAATTAATCTAAATTAATCGCATTTTAATCATTAAAAAAATGTGCCCTCAAAGCAAAACTTTTAATTAAAATTATGAGACTGAGAATCAAACATTAGACATGGTTATTACTGTAAACTAAAGCTTTTAAATTAAAAAATGCATTTTAATTATTCAAATGTCACTTTGTGATATGAAACAAGACCCAAATCAACTAAAATCAGAGTAATGAGGACACGGAGCATTTTCCCAGCGGCAGCCAGGTGCCTCTCGTTTGTCTGACTACTTTCATAAACTACTGTTAGGGCAAAGAATTATTCTGCCTGGAGCTTTCAGCGCTGCACAGCTGTTACGTAAATGTTAAAAAATATCGCTTACCGCAACTTTTGTAAAGTTTCCGGTGCCACCGGGCAGCTGCAGCAGAGACGATCTCTGAAATATGTCTGCGACATGGACTCCGTTGTTGTCTGGAAGTTTATTTTTTCATAGTTAAGAAAAGAGGCGGACGTGTTTCCTAAATCCTGCATCAGTCCAAGCAAGGCAACTTCTTTCTGTTTTTACTCCGTTTTAGTAGCCATTAGCGCTGTGCATTGTTGTGTCCGTCAGTGATATTCCATCTACGAGGAAATTGTGCAACGACAAAGGTTCCGCCTTGCTCAAAAAGCAAGCTGCGATTAAATGCGTGAATTTTTTTTGCGCGTAATTTTTTTTCTAATTAATTAATCAATTAACGCATTAATCTAATCCTCTAATTTATGGCAAAGGTCACATTTACCCAGCTGGGTCAAACAGTACTTTTAAATCCACAGATTAACCAAGGAGCCATGATGGCTGGAAGAAAATATCACTATCTGCTGCTGTTCCGTCCCAGGAGAAGGACACTTCAAGTTCACGATGATAATAATTAAATAATAATATTAATAAAACTCTTTCACATTATTACTGTTTATAATCATCATAAATGATCACTTGGTTCAGTATAAAGGTATTTTAATTACATGAAATGAATTATTATGCTTTGGGTATAATAATGATTAATTATGATTATGGTTGATGACAGTAATGTGTTCAGCAAAGAAGGTCACTTCCACCTTATCCATCTAACACAGAGTTCATCTAAACAATAACTGCCAACACATGTTTTTGACGCATGACCAAGGCTTTCTTGCTGAGAGAGTGGGAGTGTTCTGAGAGCTTTGTAAACTAACCATCGCAGCTTCACGTTCAGTTCTTGAACCAACATCATCCTGAGGAGACGGGACGGTCGCCCAGACCCTCTGCCAAGCTGTTCTGTCATGCCGACAAGAATAGCTAAGAATAAACGAAACTGTAACCAGCTGACGAAAAAACTCCTTACAGAGCTATTGATTTCTGAGTTAAGACGAAAAACTCCTTCAGAGTTACGGACTTTAAGACGCCAATAGTTCATCAGTCGTGTGACCCACGGAGACAACCCAGGACTGATTTGGTCGCATCGAGGTCCTTCTACCATCCTCGTGCCCGGAGGAAATCATCTCCACTTGACATCTCGGATCCGAAAGGGGGTCTCCAGAAACTGGGTGAGGTAGACACTAATCGACAGATGACGTTTGATGCTGTTCTCTAAGTAAACAACTCAGGTAGCTGCTAAACATCATTTCCAGCTCAGAACGCTTTCCTCTCACTGAAAGAAATCTTCTGATAGTTCCATTCACGCATCCAAACTCGTATTTTCATTTAGCTTCCATCCAGCCACAGGTTTGCCCTTTTTAAAACAAGTTTAATATCAAAGCTGTTAAAAATTGTCATTAAATTGTCATCCATGAATTGTCGTTTATAATTGTCGTTCAAATCTTTAAGTTTAAAATTGTTAGTAATAAAATTTCTTCGTTTTTAAACTTGCCTCATTATTGAAACGAAACACAGAAAAGGTATAAATATTTCTGGTTATTGAAAAGCAAAGATTCCTAGCTTCTGATTCAAAAATAAACTTTTGCTATAAAATCTAATTATCTTAAATTAACCATTAATCTTTGGATTAAAATTAGACCAAGTGAATTGGTGTTTGAGCTTCTATTGATTATATAAGTATCTTGGATATTTATACATGATATAAGCTCATATGCTAATATGCTCGGTCATTCTCAGAATTAACAACTGATGGCAAACAGTGTTGATTCTAGTATGTAGTTAATCTCTACAAAGTCACGGTCCTAGTTTTTACCTAAATAATTGTGATTATGTTGGAGCAGCTCTAACCTCCAGAGACATTTATCAAATCCCAGAGTTTTATCTACTTCAAAAAGTTAGAAATAAACAACTTAACATTTCGTTTTTGCGTTCCTTTCACTAAATCCATGCATATGTCTCACAACTGAGCACTATTATGATGCATGAAACTCTGTTAAATCAGATTAAACTCATTTGATTTTAATCTTAGACAGAATGATGATAATATCCTGCATTCTCTTGTGGTTTTACACAATTTCGTCATTAGTAAAAGACGCTTAATTCGGCTGCTTAAACTGCACAAGTCTTGATGTGAGCAGTGTGTGGGCATTAGTCACAATCCTAAAGTGGGAGATTGGATCTGCGGAGACAACAAACCTGCAGGTGGCCAAATGCAAAGGGAAGAATTTAGAGGAGGATGTGTTTTTTTCATTGCATCCACCTGCAGCCGTTTAGTCCCTACAGGTTTTTGCTGCACCTGTTTAGAGTCGAGTCCACGAGTCGTTTATTTTACAAAAGCCTAAAAGTTCACGTTCAAAGACCCCACGAGTAATGATTCTAATTCTTTCTAGTATTTGTACATAATAAAATGTTTCTCCTCCTAATCACACACCTTATTGTGTTTTTCTCATGCTGCGATTAAAATGAACACCATAAACCTTTAATATCTGTATTTGAAGGTAAAAAAAAACCTCATTCCGTTTCTTAGTTTGAAATGAGAGATGATCCACAAAGTGCTCGGAAATGTTCAGCAGACGCTAAAATATCTCGTCTTCATTGTTTTAGTCGATAATAAAAGAAGAAATGGCAGGAATCCATTCCAGTAAACATCTTCCTGTCTTCGCTGTTAAAGTTAAAACCTGGTCTGTAAACGTCGCTCAGCCCTGAATCTCTAAATGATCCCTCGTGATGTGTATTTAGCTCCTTAAGAGACGAGTAAACAAAGCTGAAGCAGTTTAATGTTAACGTGATGATTCACTACCGGTGCTGCAATTTCTGCAGGAGCCACTTTTTCTTGTTTTGTGTGGTTTCATGAGTTTTTACGCTCCTTTTATGTAAAAAAATGTTTTCATGCAGGCTTGTGTGTGATATTAAACTGTGCTGGAGGGTGAAATTCTAATTTTTTGAAATCCTGTACAACTTCACCGTAAACGCTTCGTTCTACCATGGATGCTGGAGCCATCTACCCCATTAGGCTCTGATCCAATCTGCTCCTACTTCTGAGTAAACGTTCTTCTCTAACTGGGCCTCATGGTGGTGCTGTAGCCAGCCCAGCCTCCACCCTTCTGCCCGGACCCCGGACGTGACGGATGGTCGGGAGAGCGAGGCTCAGCGGAGCAGAAACGAGAACTAATGGTCAGTGAAGTGAAAGCGGCGGGTTTCCAGGGGCGTGTCCAGGGGGTGGCCTGGGGTAGCACATGCCACCCTTGGAATCTAACTGGCCACCCCAGGTGCCACCACACTAATTTACCTTTAAATAGGCTTTTCATTGTCCACAAAAGGCTTGGGGGTAAAACAACAAAAAGCATAATCATTGGTGCCACCCATGCACAAAGTTGTGCCTCACCTGGGCCACCCCATTTTAAAAGATCTGGACACGCCACTGCGGGTTTCGGAGGAAGGCGTCGTGGATTTGGTTCTGATTCAGGCCCGTCGTGCTTAACCCTATCGGCACGTTGCAATTAACCACCAAGTTTCTGGATTGACTGAGGCTCCGAGGAGAGCTGCTGGAGGCAGATTAGTGTTCTCGAACAGTGGAGCTGCTCCATGATGCATTCAGGTGTGTGTGTGTGTGTGTGTGTGTGTGTGTGTGTGTGTGTGTGTGTGTGTGTGTGTGTGTGTGTGTGTGTGTGTGTGTGTGTGTGTGTGTGTGTGTGTGTGTGTGTGTGTGTGTTCTTACTGACTCTGTGTGTGTTCCAGACAATGCCGCCCCATGGGATGGTCGCCCTTCAGCCTCCCCAGGCCTGTCGGAAGTAGCTCCTCTCATCAGTAGCTTCTCCACACCATCACCTTCATCTCATCTGGCCTCGGCCCCTGACCTTCCTCATCTGGCTCCTCAGGACGTCACACGAGACAGTCGGAGTTCCCATAAAGCCGAGCTGTTGAGCAGAGATCCCATCGGCCAGGGGAGGAGGGTGGCTGCCGGCGGCGGGAGCAGCAGAGCCAAGAAAGAGGGTGGCAGGTCCACCCAGACGGGGTACCAGGGGCAGCATCCCACTTCCGACGGAGAAGGTGGCAAAGAGGGGCAGAGCGGAGAGCCTAAAGCTTCCAGGAGCAGCAGAGGGAGGTCCAAGGAGAGGAACACTGGCGACAGCAGGGATTGCACTCACTCTCCTAAACTCCCACACTCTAATGGGAACAGCAGGGAAAACGTGGAGCATTGGTGCGATGGGAAGCAAGGCAAACCAAGACTCAGAGAGCTAGACGTGGGCCTGGGAGAGAGCCGGCCCAGCAAGAATGGAGGAGGAGGAGGCACCGTGATGGTGAGGAAGACCACGGTCTCTCCTGGGCCTTGGAAGATCCCGGGATCGGACAAGCTGCCGAGCTCGCTGCGAACCGGCACATCCCCGCTCAGCAGATAACACCACGATTCCAAGAGGGAACAGTGGCCGCACGCGTCTGGACCGAACCAACTTCCTGTGCTCCTAACCCCCCCCCAGACAGCAGAGGTGATCTGGACCACATGCTTGTAGAGTTTTATTTATAAAACTGTATTTTAAATTATTCTAAGAGACGTATTTTACACCCACCACCTTAAAGACTGGAAAATCATCCATTTTGGGAAGGAGACGGAAACTTTTTGTAGCAGAAGGAATTTTGGAAGCGTCTTTTTTTAGTTAAGCTGAGATGGACAGAAAACGTATAGTTGTTTTTTTTTATTACATATATAAATATATACATGTACTGTGCACGGTGGGGTCTATTTTATGAAATGGAATGTTTTAAAAGATGGTTCGCCTGTTTTTGACGAGAGAATGAATCACAAAGATGCCCCCCCCCCCCCCCCCCCCATCAGCAGAGCTTCGCCTTAAGACTGTGTGGGCTTCAGTCCATCGTAAGAAAATCAGAGATGATTCTAGATATATTATAAATAGAAATATACGAGAAGGATTTGTAAATACGCTCATCTTCATGGTGAGAAACCTGATGGAAGTTCTAGTCCATGACCAGCACAGAACCACCTGCTGTCATCCTTCAGCCCTGTGACTGCACCGTCCGTTTGGAGTCCTCTTTCATCCTTTTTTTCTCTTTTTTGTGCTAAAAAACAGAAGCAATGGTGGCGTCCAGCGGGACGCTGAGAAGAATCATTCATGACGGCGAGGGGAAGGAAGCGTGCCTTAGACCGAGTCTGGATTTTATGTCAAAGGTTTGATATAGGCTGCTACTCAACACCAACTCTAATAATAAACTGTATTTAAATTGTAATATAATCAAATATATCATTAATTTCATAAATGTGTGTGTCAAATGCTCCATTATCAGGGGTGTTCAAGCAGGTCGACTTGGGGTCATGAGCGTCTGACTCTAAATCATGTGGAGGTTTTATCAGATGTCAGCACAAAGCAGAGCTTTGCACCAAAAACCAGACGGTCGTATTTTAATCGTTACTCCCACGTTGTCGTCGTTTGAAAAAGGTGTCAAAATGACTGGATCTGACCTGTTGTGGTTCTGTCTGCATATTTGTGCCAAAGCTTAATGGAGGTTTTAGGTTTTTATATTCGATTACCTAATGAATGAAGCGATGTGACATTTTAGACACACAGAGCGGCTGCGAGAGGATGAAGGAGGGACACGATCTGAGCCAGGATCCAAACCATCAGCCGGGTTTTCTGGATCATTCCTGCTCCAACTGTTAGCAAAATGCAGCAGCATCACAAAAAGTTGGTCGTTTAACTTCATCGTTTTCTGTTGCATGTAGCTGTCAAGAGGTGTGTTATGGAAGCCCATTCCCATCACTCTGATGAAAAAACTGTCTCATAATAATGACGTAGCTATCCCATAATTACGACAAAGCTAAGACAATAATGAGATAGTATCTCATAATAATGAGATAGTATCTCTTAAGTATGAGATATTACAGATACTATCTGATACTATCTCTTAATTATGAGATACTATGCCATAAGATAGTATCGCATAATAATGAGATAATATCTCATTATTATGCGATACTATCGTATAATAATGAGATACTATCGCATAATAATGAGATACTATCTTATGAGATAGTATCTCAATATTATGAGATACTATCTCATAATTATGAGAAAGCTGAGTCATACTTATGAGATATTATCTCTATCTGATAGCTAAGTCAATAATGAGATACTATCTCATAAGAGAGTATCTCATAATGAGATACTATCATTATTATGAGATAGTATCTCATAATAATGAGATCATAATTATGAGATACTATCTCATAATTGACTTGGCTATCATATAATGATACTTATAAGTATGACTCAGCTTTCTCATAATTAAGAGATGGTATCTCATTGATACTATTTCTTAATAATGAGATAGTATCTCATTATTATGAAATACTATCTCTTAATAATGAGATAGTATGAGGTACTGTCTCATTATTATGAGATACTACCTTATGAGATAGTGTTTCATAATAATGAGATAGTATGAGATACTGTCTCATTATTATGAGATAGTATTTCATAATAATGAGATACTATCTCTTAATAATGAGATAGTATCTCATACTATCTCATATTTATGATACACTATCTTATGAGATAGTGTATCATAAATATGAGATATTATCTGATAATAATGACATACTATCTCATAATTATGAGATAGCTAAGTCATAATTAAGAGATAGTATCTCATAAGATACTATCAAATTATTATGAAATACTATATCTTATGAGATGTTACCATCAATAATAAAATCTCATAAATATGACTTAGCTTTTTCATAATGAGATAGTATCTCATAATGAGAAAAGTAAAAAATAATTAGATAGTATCTCATGAGATAGCGAAGTCATACTGATGAGATACTATCTCATAATGATGAGGTAGTATCTCATATGTGAGATAGCTAAGTCATAATTGAGATTTATTTTTTTTAATCAGGGTGGCAGAGATGGCCTTTCATAATGTGTAAATCTGCTGTGGCTCCACATTAACATTCATTCTCCTATTAGGGAAGTGCTTCTTGTAGTCGTTAAGTTTGATTACACAAGGCCTAATCTTGGGTTTGGGATATAGAATAAGAAATAAAACAAAAAAATCAGCTTTTCATATTAAAAAAATGCCACAAACATGAATATTATGCAGTTTGTGTGGGATGCTTCTTCATTTTACGACTTCTGGTTGATGCGAAAACATGTTTGCACAAACTCACTGCTTTTCACGTCCGAGCTGCCTCCATCGAGCAAAACTGTGAGCAGATTTCGTAGGAGATGGTAGAACATTTGTGTGTGAAACGGCGTTTCTAAACCACAGCAGCTCTGCATCACTGTGTGTGTGTCAACCCCAACAAATAATATCTATGTAGAAGTGTGCATTTGATCGATGGTCACAAAGACTGTAACTGAGCAATTATTTTTATGAAATGCAACACTATGGAAATATTAACTTTTGCAAAAAAAAAAAAAGAAAAATATTTTAAAAAGCTACTTGTTTACTTGTATTATATCTAAATGCTGTCAAAATAAAAATCTTGACACAACTTGAAAGTTTCATCCAGGACATTTTGCTGTGATTTTGTGTGTGTGTGTGTGTGTGTGTGTGTGTGTGTGTGTGTGTGTGTGTGTGTGTGTGTGTGTGTGTGTGTGTGTGTGTGTGTGTGTGTGTGTGTGTGTGTGTGTGTGTCTTTTAACCTAGAGAAGGGCAGATTGGATGACTAGTATGAAAGATTTATTCTGAAATACTGAAAAACATAACTATTATTTGATTCAGTCAACAAAAAATAGGTTTTTGGAATAATTTTGCTAGCTGCAGGTTTTGTTTAAAACTAATTATTAACATCAGAAAGGAGAGCAACTAAAAGAATGTTGATGTAACGATGAAGGGTTTTGTTGCAGACTCCAGAATGTCTAAATGTGTTTTTAAGAAAGTCAGAATATGACCTTAATCCTTTTAAAGCTATATTTTGATAATGGTAAAGACAGTTTTAGAGTTTAAAGACACTCGAAGCTTAAAATAAAATAAAGGGTGGGTTGTTTTCTCTAACAGAATTACAAATGTTAAACAGGCTTTAAATGATCAATTCTGTCAGCAGTTTATCCAAAAAATCGTCTTAACTTTTTGGTTCATGCTGTGCGTTCTGTCGGCCACGTGAGAGCGCCAGACACACTTTACCTTTCAGACAGTTTTTCCTGTAAACGGTTTTGTGATCATATTTGTTTTTATTTTGGGTCTTTTTTTTAATCAAAATAAAAACATAACGGTTCCTTTATTTTTTTAGCTAAGTAAACCAGAAATTCAGATCGTTTCCCCCGGTGTGCACTTCTCTCATCTGGCCACTATAGGTCAGTGTGGACTAGGCCTCAATTTCAATTCAATCTGGTTTCATAATTGTTCAACTTACATAAAGTTATTAGTCAGGCTCTTATCATGCTTAGATTTATTTTCATCTGATTTTATTTTTCATAAGCTTTCAGATATCTAAATAACCATCAGCAGTCATGCATTACCCAAATTATGCTTTTAAAATGTATGAAAAACTTGTGAGAATCAAAATGTGTAATGACCCTCTTGATGATTTTTGCTGAGTTTGATGATATATGTTTTTACCCCTGTACAGCACTTTGGTCAGCTCACATGCTGTTTTTAAATGTGCTTTATCAAATAAATGGAATGGAATGGAAATAAAAGTTTAATTTCACCTAAAATAATCAAATATGTATTTGCAAATCACAAAAAGTTTCATTCGGACACTAAAAACAACCACAACCTGAAGAAACAATATTTATCAGACAAGTTTATTCCTAAACTAAAAATAAAAGCATTACTTGTTGTGAATGTTTTATTTCATTTAAATTAAGACCTTCCCTGCGGCGACTCTGAGCAGCAGCGAATGCTGTCAGAATTTCAGAGCCATGTTGAGGTTTTTTGGTCAGATCCCAGATTTCAGTGAGTCTCCTCTTCCTTCACGTTCTGATGGAGCCACAAACATCCTGAGCAGGTGATCGTAACGCATCATTAGAAAAAGGTTTGGTCTTGTCAGAGAGAGGCTCCCGAATTTCTGAATGGCATCCAGCTCGGTCTGGATGAGGCAGGACGACATGTACCGTCGTCGGGTGAGGGGAGGGCCCACGGACTTGATGACAGGCCCTGCCCACTTACAGGCTCATATCTGCGGAGCTGCCTGTCTGCTCAGCCGCTGTTGCCTGCAGACAGACAGCTGGAGTTCCTGACACTGAAGGTATCCGAGCAGCAGCGAGCCAGAGCCGGTGGGTGGAGGCAGAGAGACCGCAGCTGCTGTCCCTCGCGGAGGAAGAAAGGAGTCGCCAGCACTAACACACACCCACGGTAAGAGACGCTTAACGGGTTTTCATCACTTTGAATTGATACGACTTCTGTCGCCGGTTGGATTCAGAATTGGTGTGTTAAAGCGGCGGTGTGTCGCGGAACGCCGCTGCCGGAGCATCATTCATTGGTTCGGCTGTCTGTGTGGAGGCAGCCGCTGTAGCATCAGCGTAGCCGGGGCTGGAAGCGTTGAGAACGTCCTCACGCGCTTCCATCCGGTAAATATACCGGTGCTACCGGCTTATTACGGCTCGTTTGTTTGAGTTTAAATGTGGTACTGGTGTTTGGAAGCTGTAGCCGCCTCCGGGGTCAGGGCAGCGAACAGCGGGACAGCTGAACCCGCAGTCAGCGTGCAGCAGCATCACCAACAAGTTAGCTAGCGTTAATGCTAAAAATACCGGAATATGTAGCGGTACCTTTCAAGATAAGGCTGAAATTTACACGACTTTTTAGACTTCTTCAGTCTGTTTATTTAAGTGTTTTTGCGTATAAAGTCCTCAGCAAAGCGGTCACCAATGGTACAATTAGGCATATGATTAAACATGAGAAACAGGATGGTTTACGTTCGCTTGTTGAAGTTCGTTGCCGTTACTCGTTGTTATATTTTGAAAATATTTACCGGATGTGAGGTACTGACATCTTTTTTATGGTGAATGGTGGTGGTCGGCACGGATTTGTAAAAATCGAAATGTCGTTAAAATGTGTCCGATTTGTCAAAGAGATAAAAGCTTAGTTGGAAACGAGAACCTTTGACACCAGAGGACACGTTAACGACCACATAAATGATTTTCCTAGTTATATTTGGGTGCTCTTCGGTTTGAATCACCGCCGAGCTGCTCGGGAGTCCGGCTTGAATGACGGGAAACCCAGATGACCCGCTCATAAGTCGGCCTCGCATGTCCAAAAGCTCCGGAAGCAGCCACTGTTTTTACATAGACGCACCAATGCACGTTAAAACCTCTAGAAATGAAATGTATTATAGATTTGCTTACAAATGCGGCACATGGTTATTTTTTAATACATTTTAGGTATTTTTATAATAATTTTCTTCAGATTGTGCAGTAAAACACCCCCGACGTAAGAGCTCGTTTTTTTTCCTATCTCCTTTTAAAATATTAATAACTTGTATTGAATATTTTATAAGTTGGAGTGTGTAAATCTAACCTTTCACGTGTGTGTTTGGAAGGTTTATTTATTTATTTTTGCCAGTGCCACCTGTGCCTAAGAAAAGAGACAAAAGGAAGCATTTCAAAGCACCTAAAAGTCTAAAGATCATAAGCCATGTTTACATATTAAAGATTGATAAACTTTTGGTTTGTCTTTCTGTGGTTTGAGGTGAGGAGATTCACAACGTGCTTCCTCTTTAGTAGATAAGCGTCCTCCGCGTGAATAAAATGTCTTTATTAGTCAGGTAGGAGCTAAACAGCTGATCATCTTTAGCTATAAATATAGATTTGGCATAACATTCAGAGAGAATTGATGAGCTTGTTTCTCGTTCCATGAAGGACAAAATTATACATTTAAGGTTAAGAAAGCTGGATGACATAACTCCCAAACAGCAACAAGTTACTTATAAAACAGCAAACTAAAGCCGGACATCCTTAAAGAGCAAGTCACCTCCAACAGAGTCTTACTCCACTCCCACTTCCTGTTTGAAAAATGCAACAAATGTTGTTGCCTGGCAGACCGAGAGGGTGGAGCAGCTAACAAATACACACACACACAGGCTCACAACAGCATTATGACATCATAATGTACCAGCTAACGTCATGGTGTACCTGTTAGCCAATAGTGATGGCAGAGCTTTTACCTGAAGATGATTCAACACTAACAGTTTTGCGCAGAATATTAAAATTTTAACTAAAGTGCCAAATTACTGACTACACATGTCTACAGCACGATTATTTATATAGTTTATCAGCAAAAAAAAAGTTTATTTGGGGTGACTTGCCCTTTAAGCACTTTCCTGATCAATTTAATGATGAATATTACATTTACCAAGACTACAGGATGGTGGCTTGTTAAAGCACCACGTTATTTTACCAAGAATCGGTTTGTTAGGGAATAAGTGTCATCAGAAAAGTCAAGGTCGGCTAATCCCCAAAGTGACCCACCATCTGCAAACAGAACTCTGCAGCTATTAATCTGTTAAGTTTAAGAGATTGTTCAGGATAAACAAGGCTTTCGTTGTCTTAGTTTTCTTCAGAGATCATTCATACGCCCAAAGCCTGGGCAAATGTGACCGCGTGGAAGGACATGATGATGTTATGCCGTCTGTGGCGAGTCTGTTTCCAGAATACAAGCAGTCGGCGTTTATCCATTCATCTGTAGAGTCTACTCATACCGACCTAATGGGTTCGTGCCAACTGTAACACCGAAAGAGGAAAGAAAAAGCCACAAGGCTTCATTTATGCTGTTTATTGAAACGGGAGAACTATACAGCTCGCTCTTTCATGGCCACTTTCCCCTACAGCTGTGCACTTCCAGTCCAACCAGCACGAATGTCGACCTCCAGCTAAAGGACCATGCAACACAAAGAAAAGTAAACACACAAAGGGAAATATGTGTGAAATAAACAGTGTTTCATATAAAACAGCCGAGCTACTAGCACTGAAGTTGCTGTAAAAACGCAGCCGCTTCTTCCCAGATGGCCTAAATAAAGTGTTGTGTTGGTTTTGCACCTTTGGTTGTTTTTTTGTTTTTTTCTCGCGGGAGACCCCGGATTAGTTTGAATCAGCATTTGGTGCAAAAGCTGTAGCTGGTGAGGATAAATGAGCTGCAGAAATGGGCCAGAGCTGAGTGGGAGCTAGGTAGTGGCATCATTTTTTTTTAAGTAAGATGTTTACTTATTGATTTTTGGATAATTCGGTTTGGGTTTAAATTATAATTTCTATTTTAGTTTCTAGTTTTTGATTATGAGTCTAAACCAACAAGACCACTGATTGTCGTCTTCTTCTTCGTCCCCTACTCCCTCTCCATCTGTGGTTTCTGTTGACTTGTAGTCTGATCAAATCAAGAGGGGGGATTTTGTGGTGGAAACTACACTGGACACCACATCAGCACTCGGTAAACCGAATGTCACCGGAGAGTGATCTAGAGGATTCAGTGGCTTTTTGCATCGTTGTAGTATTGATTGGTCAGAAGCCACAACACACTCAAGGAAAGACCTCTGGACTATCTGATGCTACTATAAGATACCTGCTGAAGGGTCTTTAGATGACTCGGTCGGCCGAGTAAGGTGCAGAAAACCAGAGCTTCCTCACAAGTACTGAAGTCTTTTTTTAATTACAAAACTGAAAAGTGAGTCTCAAATCAAAGTTGTTCTGGTTCTTGTTTCACGGTTTGCAGCCAAGCTTAGTTTTGTTTCAGCGGTGCAACTGGATCAAAGAGCCCCGTGCTACCACATATGACGTCTTTATATAATCTAGGGGTTTTTTGTAATTAGATTGAAATCTCATTTTCTTTTCAATTAGATTTGTTAAATTGCTGTTTTTAAAAAGAGAAGAAAATAATTAAATAAGGCTGATGGATAATTTGATTAAACATTTTTTTTCCGAATTTCATCTTTTTACCTGCTGAGGGGCAGTAGATACCTAAATTGTTGTGAGCAAGCAATATTTTTGTGCTGGCATAAGACCTTAGCAACAGATGCCCATTAGGGTCAAAAAGCCCCAGGAAGTGCAAACTTCAGCAAAATGATAAGCACATCAGGTTTCCTTTCATCCCTGGCAAGAAATGAAGAGGTAGATAAACATCAGCGTTTATCAATGGTTAAAGTTTTGTAACCGTTTGTTGCAAATCAGTAAATGTATTTTGTCCTCAAGGGCTCCTGTAGAAGGAAACATGGCGTCGTCCAGAGACTTAGACCTGCTCCCATGTATTTTAGACCTGATTATTGTGGTTATATTTTACGAAGCCACCAATATTTTTCAACGACTGGGCATCATTTAATTCATTTTCAACACCATTTTAATGGATATTTCCAGAGATTAAGAGTAAAATCTACACATTGTCACTTTAAAAGGTGGAATATGAAACACGGACACCAATGTGACATCTAGTGTGTGGAGGTTGTAGTTGCAACAATAGAACAAGGTTTCCAGTTGTTGGGATACCAGGTTCGCTGCAGATACTTTTTATTTGGGTTCATCTGTTGTAGATCTTTTCTGGTCGCTCCTCTTCTGAGAAGGATAACGACATCTTCTGGGCCCAGAAGCAGCTGCTCGACTTGCCGAGTCCACAGTGTCCGCCTCGATTTGCCGATCGGTGCTCTCTATTGGCTGTAAACATAAACCCAGTGCTGTGCCTGTCAAAATACAGTAAATGTTTTTTTATTTAAAATAGCTTTTAAAGGAAAGGTGTACCTTCATTCTGTATACCTCTAAACGCCTTGTGGAGGTGTTTTTTTTTTATAATATAGCTTTTTATTAAATTGTTCCATTTTCACCCTTTAAGTTCTCATAATTTAAAGGGACTTTACAGAGTTTTGAATTTTTATGCTCGTGATTGCCCCCTTAGGCCAAAAGCGTAACGGCAGCTTCAATAGTAGGCTCGTGCACGAGACAGTCCCGTGTGTGTGTGGCCCGGAGGACGGAGGAGAGGAGAACGCGCAGCTAATTAATTAAATAATTTGGTTCTGTACCTTTCTCTTCAGCACAGCCGACAAAGGTTTATGATGGGTCAGTCCTCCTGCATGCTCAGATCATTCCCTTCCCTTGCTTGAAAAATTATTCCAAAATGAAAGTTGAACCCACATCTTTTTTATCTGTGAATTCAATGCCGTTCGGCGAGTCTCAAATAAAAATTTGGGCATCTTACTGTAAAAAAATATATCATTAATGGTAAAAAGAAACTCTAAATTAACTATGTTCACACCTAGAATTGAACTCAGATCTCCTGCATGGGAGTCAGACATCTTACAAGGTGAGCTACACTCTAGTAACATTCAATGTATCTGAAACATTTATATCCTTGATGACAGCTGAAACAACGTTCAAAAAACG